TTTGACTCACCCTGTAGTGGTAATGTGATGGAAATACTTAAAGTAACCAGTCTACAATGTAATTCACATGTGACAGTCAGTAATAAGAGTATCTACCGTACACGTTATGAACATGTACATTGTACATGTATGTAGTTACATGTACCATGGAGGAAGGAATAGTCTATATATTCCTTCCTCCATGCATGTACTGTACATGTATAATTTGTCAGTCGGGGAGCAAGTCAGTCAGTCAGTCAGGTACTAGTAACTAAGGGCTACAAGCTGGCCCCTCAGGGATCAGTTTTGTACAAGCATGACAAGTGAACAGTGTTGTATAATATAACAACACATTTACCTGATACAGAAACTACATGTACATTGTACACGCATCACACAATGTATACAACAGGTACATGTATAGCTGACTCAATTAATGCATTACATGGGGTAATTGCATTAAATTGTAGGCCTACGCATAACATGCATAATACTGGTAGTTCTTTTCCTGTCTTTACGATATACATTGTACATTGGTCTTCTGTTGAACCAAGTTTGTGCTGCCAGAACAGTGCATTAGCAAAATGTTATCAACCTCAATCAGATGGTTGGAGCCAGGCTCTTCTGCCAGATATGCTCCAACGCACTGTCATGTCACCTAGCAACTCTCCCCAAACATCCTTGGGTATTAGTATCGCTTGGTTACCTGTATCCTGTGCTTCATACACTGGTACCGGTACGTGTACAATGTAGTGGGTGACAGTTCTACAACGACCTTTACAAATTAACTGATTGTATGAGCATGTTGTGAGGTTTTGTATAGCTGGAAAAACAAAATGATAGGCCTATGTGTTGAATTTGATGTACAACATGTACATGTACATTGTGTCAAAGTAAATGCATGCAATAAATAAATCTGATAAACTAGAATGCAAATTTTTGGTACAAATTTCGAGCGAGTAAATGCTATTAATAACATACTTTGGACATGTAGTCTGTACAGAAAAAAAAATACATGACATTTTGTGTACATTTCTTTTGCACTGTTGGCACTGAATACTACTGCAGGAACACTCCTTCCTCCATGATGCAACACTGGAATTGGAAGAGCCAATGTAAAAAAAGGACAAACAAAAAATATAAACCTACAGGTATTCTCTAAAATCACAGGATTCAATTAATAATTTTTGTTTCCACTTGCACAAACTTAAAGGGAATATAGGCCTACATCATTTGCTTTTGCTGTAATTTTCAGAAATGGATGGAATTGGGGGGTTGGAAAGATAGCAAATATAGTTACACGTACACTGACTTTTTTGAGGTTTTGGGTTCGAAAATGCTATAAAAACCAAGACAAACAATCATTTTCCTGTAGTCTGGTTCCCTGACTCCATATAAGAAGTCACAGAGCAGTTTACATACATTGGGGAATTGTAAGGTCAGGGAACCAGTCTAGCTGGCTTGTACCCGTTCATAGGTGTGTAATCGATTGCAAACAAGTGCGATGGTCAATTGGGGCCAGTATTTGAAAAAAAAGCCAGTTTTTTTTTCCAACGCTGGTCGGCCGACCAGCGTTGGAAATTAATACAAAAATACCACTTTTCTTGAAAATGACAGTATACCAGGTGCCATGATTTTACAGGATACTTTACACTGTCATTCACTAACAGTCCAGCAAGGTATTTCAAAATGATTTGGTAGTTTTATTTTTTGATGTTTGCAAATGTTGTATTTTCCCTTTAAAACAATAAGCCCCCATGTTAAACTCTACACAAATATGAACTTGCTCCATCAATGTCTTCAGTAACAGAGTTTATCAATAAATTTACGGACTGTTGTGAAATGGTGTTTGTTACTGCCCAACAAAAGCACCTATCATACAGTCATACATTTTTCTTTCATATAAAGCCTACAAAACTTGCAGAACCAAATGTTTAACTGAATATAAAATTATATACGTGGTACATGTGTCTACAGCATAATGTGTAGAATAGGCAAACACCAGCTTGCAAATACCCATTTTCCATTTTTTTTTTAATGTAGGCATGCAACTGGGAATTTAGAAAAAAAACGAGGAAACTCCAAACCACACAAGACTTTGTAGAGTGTTTTTCAATTTGTAACGTCATTTAATATGAGAAGTGAAAAACGAGGAAATCAGTGGATCCGAGGAAAAGTTGCATGCCTGCAAATGATGGACCACTTCTAACATTACACATGAGAATGGTTTGTCGGCAATTTTTCATTTTTTTGTTTTGATTAAATTCATTTTTCACTGATGAATCTGTGAACATTTGGTTGTAAATTATTTTCTTTTATCTTATTTTTCCTCAATTTCGGACTCTGGAAAGCAAGTAACAAAAAATTGTAGATCTGAACAGATTGTGTAGATCGTATGTATGTATACAGCTCCATGTTGATGTTCAGTAATATACTGGTAGTCTACAGTCACGCACCTGTCATCTGAATTGGTTTAGTGTTGATCTTATTGATAAAAAGAACAAAAGTAAATTTGCACACTTTTAGCACCAAACATATTGAGGTTTTTTTATGTACAAAGACAGTACATAGATACAGGCCAGTTAAAGTTCACTTGAACTTTTTTGTCCTTAATTTGAAATTTTCCATGATATACCGATACAATTATGAAACAGGGCATAAACTTTACATCAAGCACAAGCAGACTTAGTTTTCATTATGTAGGAACAAATACGGGTACATATATTGTACGTGTATGAGTGGGTTAAAATTGCAACTTAAGGGTTATAAGTGTATACACATGGTAAAAAAAAGTGGCGTCAAAATGCATCAAAATACTGCATTAATTAAGTTATAAAATAGTTTTCACATAAATGTAGTCCTACTGCAGTGTTGAACTAAACTAGGATGTTCTTACTGTGAGTCACAAGCACAAGTTGTCGCCGAGTTTTATTTCATTATACAGCAAACATTAAACACAAAGTAAAAGCACAAACGAGAGATATATTTTGACGATAATCTGACGCATTTTCGATATCATTCCTCAATATCGAAAATTTTGCTATTTCGGCGAATCGATATCAAATTAATATGGAATAATGGAGTATTATCGATATATCGACGGTGCGTATTCAACAGTGCATCATGGTGAACTGCCATCTTTATTTTTGTGTTGCGTTGCCAGGGGAAACACTGGTTTCTTGGGATTTTCGTATGCGGCTTAAGGTTGGTGCCGTGCAATTCAGCGCAGTACTATTGCACGTTGGCAGCTGCGTACATCGCGGTGATCGTCACCTTTATTTTTCGTGTTGCGTTTCGTTGTCATCGTCATTTTACCCCCAAATTTCCCTCGAAAATTCAAAACCCTGCCCTTTACCAGTATCTGTGACATTCATGTTCCTCAATGTTGCCAACTACCGGTAGTTTGGTAAGTCAAATAAATTAAAAGAGGATTTTGTTCTCTTCAAGACAAGGGAACCGGTCCCGGCATAAACACACAATCGCCACATTTCAGGGAATTTATTTACTTCAGCAAGCATCGCTGTGTTTATACGAAGGTAGTATTTAAGACACAAATTGTAAAACTTACAGTGCAACCAAACAACCAACCAAAAAGACACATTTCTTAATCTTATATATTATTTGGATTTTTTTGGGTCATAACTTTTAAAATCTTACATCTTGAAAATTGTCTCTGTTGATTGGGATGATCAGAATAACAATATTATCGGGATCTACATTTAATAAGTACATGTAAATTGTATAAAATGTATTTATGCAAATATGTAAATATAGGCCTGTAATGATTCAACCATTAGGATATTGAAAATAATCTTGAAATTATGAAAAGTGTATTGGCGATGGCATTGAAAAAAGAAAGAAAAACAAAGAAAATATGTTTGAAAAGCTCAAGAAAATATATTTTCCTCAATCCAAGAAGTCTAAGTTACTAAAAAAAATGTTTATATTGAGTTACATGGCCCGGACAGCACAGATTTTCCATGCAGCATCCACTGCGTAGAATTTTATGCAGGATAATAATTTTTTTCTTCAACACCAAAACTGCACGCTTTGGAATTCCCTGGTTGTTGCTAGCTTGAGTAACTCCAGCTGACATGCTCATATTCATTCACATGTAGCTTGAGTAACTCCAGCTGACATGCTCATATTCATTCACATGTAGCGGAGTAATTGCAGAATACCCCGCCACTCGGAAATACACCCCTAAAATCACTGGCTACGAGGTTGGAGTCACTGCAAAAGAAACAATTCAAGTCCATTGCCAGCTACGCGGATACTGAGTGGGGGTCCATTATTTGAGAACGAAGCAACACAAAATGAATGAGTTCCTGAAAAAAATTATAAGTCCAAACCAACCACCCTGTTGGCGGCTACGAGGCTCGGAGTGGGAGTCCCCTTGAATATGCTTGAGAACGAAGCAACACAAAAGGAATGGGAGTTGCTGAAAAAATTCTAAGTCCAAACCAACTACCCTGTTGGCGGCTACGCGGTCACGATGTGGGAGTGCAATGGAGCATAATGCATAGTACATACAAGTAGCGCTGAGAATGTTTATTGAGGTCAATCAACCGTGACCTCGTAGCCGGCTACGAGGTGGATAGATCGAGTGGCGGGGTATTCTGCAATTGTGCCCATGTAGCTATGATGAGCATGTCAGCTGGAGTTGCTCAAGCTAGGTTGTTGCCACAAATAAAGAGATTTCGCTTTGTTAATCGGTATGGTGGATGATCGTAAGCCAACAATATAAGTTTCTTTGAGGAAAAGAGTGGTTGCTTTGCTATTTTTAAGCTACCTGGTTGCAAAGCCCAATATCTGCGCAGAAATAGGAGGATCGAGGATACATGATGATCATGATCATTGATCATGATGATGTAGGCCGAGTTCATTCAATCCTTGGCACAATACAATAGCAGTCTGCAGTCGAGTCTGCGGAACACGGACATTGCTGGAGGGAAGAAAAGGCGATTTAAACTGGGAAAATAACGTTTAAAATAGCAAAACACGATAAAGCGTTTACTTACAGATCATTCAGTGGTTGATAAACTCGTCGTTAAAGCATGTAACCTCAGTAAAATGTCATTTTAGTTCTCACAAAAACACAACTACGCGAAAGCGTTGACTACGGTCCCATTTTGTCCATGGTGACGCTGAATTTCCTCAACGTGTAGTCGAGTCTGGATGTCTTGTACAGTTTTGTCACTGGAATGAACTACGCGTTACTTAAGCCAGAAAACTTCAATAGGACTTTACGTTACATGCACGCTCAGTCACGGACCATTTACACTAGGTCCGTGGCTCAGCACTCTAGTGGCGGATCATCGAGGGAGGGGGGCGCCGGGGAGAGGGACCAGCAGCATGTATGAGGGGGCACACCAAGGGTGGATCCAACAACAACATTTCCCCAAATTCGAGGCCACCCCGGGGGGGGGGGCAATTTTGGCGCTACAGGGCGCTCTTTTTCTTCTTATCAATTTATTCACATGTTCATTAAGCCGTGCGGTTCAGGTCATCAGTCCGGATTCCTCTTCGTTGTAATAAGTCGTGTCCTAGACACTTCAAAAAAAAACCTCTGGATCCGCGCCTGGCCAAGTGTAAGGGTTTTCTGTTCAAATTGTGAACCCAAAAATTTGCTTATTTGAAAACAATTGTGAAATAAGTTCGGCTCATTGGATTATTTAAACAACAAATTACCGAAGAAAAGAACATTTACGACAGCAACATTAAAAAAATTCTGGCAACTACGGTGGTGCTCAATAACATTGAGGTTTCTGCCCAGTGGCGTAGCCAGGAATTTTTCAGTGGGTGGTGGGGGGGGGGGGGGGGGGGGGGGGGGCTGGAACATTTCATTGGGGGGGGGGGGGGCGTCATGTAGATCAATGATAATTTTTTTAGAAACTCAAAATCTCAGTGGGGGGCGACTGGGGGCGACAAGGTTTCATGGGGGGGGGGGGGGCTGTCGACGCCCCCCCGGCTACGCCACTGTTTCTGCCTGATATGACATCTCACTTGTGCTCATGAATATGGACAGTCACAGTAGCCAAAAAAGAAAAAAAGGCACCAAAATGCCCTGGAAAATGGCAAAACGAAAATTGAAAATAAGGTTAAACTAATGAGACACAACGGTGCATTTCAAGAATTGCATTTTAAAAAAAGAATTACATTGCACGGGACCTCATCAAACACACCAAGCAACCATCCTACCCCACCCCACCCCCACTGACACCCTTACCCCTCAGTGCGAAATCCTGGGTTTGCCACTGAAATCTTCCAACTTTGATTTGTGAGCATTGTAAATGAAGGGTAAAAACAGGGGCGTAAATCCGGGGTGGGGTGGGGATAGTATCACCCCACTTTTTGATCAGGGGGATGGGCTATTTAATCATCCCTCCTAACTTTTTCGTGATGAAAAAAAGAAGAAGCGGATTTCGAGGTATTTTTCGAACATCCCAACAACCAAAATGTATTCAACTTAGCACTGAAAAGTGGAGAAACGAAGTACAAAAGCTTTTAAAATGCGCCGTTTTGATGTTAGCGCGAGTATGATACATCTATATCCTGAAGAGCGCCCCTAGTGTAATGCGGTGTGTAATGTGGTGTCCCTTTTTCGAATTTCCATGGCCGGGCAATTTTCGGATGTTGGTCATAATACTTGGGAATAATACTTTATACCTTGCTACCCAATCAATTAAACTGATTTTTTAATTACAAATGTATTGGGGGTTTTGCGTTTGAGGCGCAGACGCAGCCCCAAATTAAAATAAATATGCGTTTTTTTCAGAAGAGACGTAGTTTTCTAGCAAATTGAAGAAAAAAAAACGAATCTGGTACAGAGGATGTGGAGAAGTTGACAGGTCCATGTATAGAATTTTTATCGGAATTTCTGGGATGTACTGAATAGATAATAAGCAAATGTCAAAGTTTGAAATTAACTCCATGGCACATTCCCTCCAACACCGTCACGTGAAACAAAACATTGCCCAACTTCATTTTCCTGCCGCGCTTCCGATCGACCCGACGCGACCCAAATAATCCAGAGTAGAGGGCGCTATACCTGCGACCAAGGTGCAGCCAGCAGTTGGTTCGCCGTCTGTGTTTGCGCGGTGGGCTACGAGCGAAGTGCATGTAGCGAGTGGCAGCGCAAGGGCGGATCGGGGGGAGGGGGGGGGGGAACGGGGGCCATACCCCCCCCCCCCAAATTACAAACAAACAACAACAACAACAACAACAACAACAACAATGAACCCAATTTTTTTGTTTAAGTGACGTCGCAATAAAGGCAGGCACTGCGTACATCACCATCTTTTCCTCAAGAAGGTTTGTTAAAGTGGTCAGAAATGGCCTCAGATCCCGCGCACCGGCACGTACAGAGCATCTAGAATCCAAAAACATTTCGGGGCCCTTAAGTGGGACCCGAACCCCACGCCGTAATTTTTGGACCCATTTTCGGGGGACTAATCTTTTTTTGCCCCCCCCCCCAAAAAAAATTGTGTTCTGGATCCGCCCTTGTGTACATGCAGTGCCGGAGATCGAGACGATGGAGTTTGTTCCATCTCCTTAATATCGTTCATACCGAACATGGCTAATCAAGAGGAAAAACATCATGAGGTGCCAGTTGCATAACTACGGGGAACACGGAGCCCCCCTCTATACTCCCGCCCCCCCCCCCCCGAAAAAAAATAGATCGTACTCAAGCCCCCTCCCCCTTTCCAATTGATGCACCCCAGGGATGCCCCCAGAACCCCACTAGGTAGGCGCATGTAGCAACCCAAAACATTATTTTTTTTGCATATGAAGAAGATCTGGTTAAGATCGGAACTTCATGGCCCTCTTAATTAAAAAAAACCCTACATTTTTCATGTTTATAATGAGGTCACGTCTTCTGTAACCATATTCACATGATTGCTTCGATCATGGAGGTACAGGAATAGATCTATTCCTACCTCCATGCTTCGATGAAGGCTTACGTTGCCCAGGGCCAGGGGGGGGGGGGCATCTTCAACTTTCAAGGGCCTTAGAAAAATCTTCTGCATCCTAATAAACTGTTCAGGCGATACCGTGTAGTTTTTAAGCATAAAAGTAAAAAGTCGTTCATTGGAACATGGAGGAAGGAACACTCCATGCTTGGAATGACAAAAATCTGAAGAGCACCGTGACTCGGAGCGCAGAATGCCCTCACTGAAAATACGGGTGGCCATCAGGGAGTTATTCAAACTTCGAGTTCGTTTCAAATTTGACTTCAGGACATGTTTAGGCTCTTCAGTCTTGACACAGGAGACGAGACTCTGGACCAACACGGGTCCTTGTTCTACTTCAAAAACATAAAATCGGATAACATGAGGCCAAACTTTGGGATGGTAGGAGCAATAGAGTTTTTTATTTGTTATTATTTTTATTATAATAATGAGCCAGAAATGAAGGTGATGCCGAAAAGAAGCCGACGTTTAAAAAAATAAGTTGATTTCAGACTGGTACCCTCCCTTGATTGTACTCTTTGCTAACGACTCTATTATGGGGATATGGATTCGATTACCATACATTCCACATGTGTGTCGTGAGCACTCTGTTCAAGCACTGCGAGCGAAAATGCCGATTTCTTCAGGCTGAAGACAAGTTGACCGTTACACGTACTATCTGCACTGTACAGGTAATGATGCGTGATTTAATTTGGAGGAGGTTTTGAGCTCAATGGTCTGTCCTTGCCAGGCTTGTGTTTGACTTTGAGTTTGACAGTTCCGCTGTGCGCTGCCGACATTCTAGCCCCGGCACTAGTGTGGCCGCGGTATGCTGCGCTGAACCTCTCAGCGCAGCATACCGCGGCCACACGGTTTCGATCCAACTCGGACCCAAACCAACTCGGACCCAAGCCAACTCGGACCCATGCCAACTCGGACCCACTACATCTACATCTACGCGGGTACTCAGCAAAGTCCACTTCTGGATGTTAACGCTGAGGTGAAGTTTACACTACCAACTCGGACCCATGCCAACTCGGACCCACGACCAAATCGGACCCACGACCAACTCGGAACCACTACCAACTCGGACCCACAACCAACTCGGACCCACTACCAACTCGGACCCATGTATGACCAACTCGGACCCATCGTTTTCAATCATTCAACATCGTTTTCAATCGTTCATTTCATAAAGGTTGTCCACTTCTCATCTGTTATTACAGTGATGCTGTTTAGTATAAATTTTCATTGTAATTGTAAGGTAAATTATCTCATATCTGTCATGTCTGTATTGCAGCAGTATAACTTTTTTGTCGTTGTAAAGCGCATTAAAATGCTATTTTGAAATGCGCTTTAAAAGTGTAATTAATTATTTATTATTTTTATTTGTTTCCATTAAAACATATTATGCTTTAAAAGTTTAACCAATTATTTATTTTCATTCAAACATATTAATTGACGTCGTTTACACCATCTTGCTAAATTTAACAGCAATTTATTTCATTTTTACTCCGAACTTCAACATAACGAGTATACAAATTAAGAACAAATCTTCATAGAAAAATAAAATTGGAAAGTATGGCATTAAAACAAACACTTTCAAACATAACATTATTAACTCAATAAATATAAGTAAACATTAGAAATCAATAAATAAAATAAAGGTTCCATATTAAACAAAAAAGTTAAATCAAAAGAGTATAAAAAGTTACATTTGTAATCGGATTCGTAAAAAAAACCCACAAAATTCAAAGCCAGCATGTGAATTAAAAAACCCCAAACAATTACATGAAATGAAAGGCCCAAATAGTTATTTTAAATTAATAACTTCCTCACTGAAACAAAATGTGCCACTTAAAACCACTTGTTACACGACACAAAGGCCTGCAAAAACAAACAAGTAATTTATTTTTTACTGAAAATTATAATCCTTTGATTTTCGTTTGGAAAAGAAAATCGAGATTTTGAAAAAGCATGTATATATCAAGTTGTACAAATGACATACGATATGCCTAACCTATACTATACGCTATTAATACCTCTTGGTTTAGCTTCACAGGTCACGGTTTCAAAAGCTAAGCACGTTTAGTTTCATGACGTTCAAAACAATAAGCGTTTAGCAACAGTATTTACTGTACGCATCATAAAATACCGCTCCACACAGCGGCAATACAAGAAAACAACAAAACTAAAAGCCCCATTCTGCCCAATGTAGTTACAGAATATCTTCACTTCATAAGCACTAACATTAAGATCACCTAAAAAATATAATCTCTAAAACTAATGATTGAGTCATTGTTGGGTCCGAGTTGGTCGTGCTTGGGTCCGAGTTGGTAGTGGTACCGAGTTGGTCGTGGGTCCGAGTTGGTCGTGGGTCCGAGATGGTAGTGGGTCCGAGTTGGTAGTGGGTCCGAGTTGGTAGTGGGTCCGAGTTGGCGTGGGTCCGAGTTGGCATAGGTCCGACTTGGCATGGGTCCGACTTGGTTTGGGTCCGAGTTGACCTGATACCGGCCACACTGGGCTGTTACTAGTTAGGCCAAAAAAAAAAATGTTCAGTCTCTGGTCAGACGAAAGTTCCGGAATTGACGCGGTCACGCGGCTTTTTTTTTTTTTTTGCTTTTTTTTCTTCTTTCTTCTAGCTTGGATTGTACAGACAAGGTGGGGTACTATTTTGCTTTTTTTGGTGTCCTCATGTACATTGGTGTCCTCCATAATTTGCCTTGGTGCTTTCGATCATTTGCCTTGGTGCAATTTCCCATTCCTTGGTCAGTTGGTGCTCTTTGGTAAAAAATTGAGGAGGTGCGGAAATAGAGGGCGCTGTTGGAGCTACCGCGGAACATTTGGGAAAAAAAAAAGATCGACTCGCATGATTAAAATCGACGCGCGCGCTGACCAGAGACCGACTTATTTTTTTGTTTGGCCTTACGCCCCAACTATCGCATCGGTCCCAACTATAGTTGGGACTGTCCCAACTATAGTGTGGCAGTTGGGTCGGCCCAACTATAGTTAGGACTGGAGTTGCGCCGGATGCTCCATGCTTGATAGATCTTGTTGGATTAAATGTTCCGCGGCGCTGGCACCGTGTCGTGCATGCATGTCGCAAGGCTGGCCGGTCACGTGGTACTGCCTAGTTGGATGAGTTGTCCAGCTGCTGGGTTTTATTGTCCAGCAACATTTTGCAAAATTCAAAGATTGCCATGGCCGGCCAACTATAGATGGGCCCCACCCATAGCTAATGTCATTGGTCCCAAGTAAAGTCAGATGTGTATTAGAGTTGTAGGGAATGTTTTATAATCGTACAACAATGTACACTATAGTTGGGACCGCAAAATAAAAAGATTGGGGTGGCCCAACTATAGATTCGCCCCATCAATAGCTAATTTCAGTGGTCCCCAGTAAAGTCAGACGTGTATCAGAGCGGTAGGGAATGTTTTATAGTTGTACATCAATGTAAACTATAGTTGGGACACCGCAAAATAAAAAGATCGGAGTGGCCCAACTATAGATGGGCCAGCCCAACAGTGGAACTTACAGTTGGGACCGTCCCAACTATAGTTGGGACAGGCCCAACTATAGTTGGGCCAGCCCAACTGTGGAACTACAGTTGGGACAGGCCAAACTATAGTTGGGACCGATGCGATAGTTGGGGCGTAACAGGGCTACCGACATTCATGCAAATTTTGGCGAGCGATCGTGTATCTACGCCACGGGCCCGGTTCCTGGTAAGGCCTAAGGGAACAAAATCCACTTTTAAATTATTTGACCTATCAAACTAGTTGGCGACATTAAGAACATGCAGGTATGTCATAGATAAAGGGCAGGGAAATTTGGGGGTAAAAATAACCTAAAATGACGGTGACAACGTCAACGACAAAACGCAACACGATGGCGATCACCGCGCGATGTACATGTACCGTGATTGAACGCGCAAGGCGCGCTGAATTGCATGGCACCAACCGTAAACTGCATAGGTAAATCGTAATTTCTACCCCAAGAAACCGTTTATACATTACAGAAAAGGTGTCATTGAGAGAAGTCTGTTTTTCCTACATGTTTTAGGTTGAAAAGGTCATTTTTGAGTAATAAAAAAACACCCTTGACTCTAATTTGATCGAAACTAAACAGGGGCCCTACACTACACGATCGCCCAAATTTGCGTGCAGACTTTGCAGTCACCACTGTGCATGATGCAGGCTTAGCTGCTCCCCCTGCCATGCATGCCTGCGGCCAAACTGGGACTTGGAGTGTTCTGAAACGTGCAAAACTAAATCAGGCCAACTTTACTCACTCTTTTAGCCAGCAAATTTCTCTAAAAATTCCATTGTTTTGGGGCAAAGAAAAGGTCCCAAGTAATTCACCAACCAAGTTCGTTGAAAACAATTTTTAAAGGAGACATTTCTTCAACATTTCGCACATGAGACAAAAGTCAAGTGACTTCAAAATGAGGCTAAAGACTAGATTGGTACATGTCCAACCATGGTCCGACTATTTGAAAAGACTGACCTCTTCATTCCATGTCATTAGTCCGGTGGCTGACTATGGAAAAATGTGTAGTAAATAGTAGCCCGACTGCCTCTGGCTGTATATACTATCACAAGCTTCATATTACAGCCAGACAGGCGATGCTCCCCTAAGTGCTAAAAAGTGATGTTTTTTACATAGCGATTTTGCTACCGATTTTGATCGAGATTTGTAGCTTCACATCCAGGATAGAAATTTCCAAAGTTAAGGTACCTAGTTGTAGAGTAGCTCCAAAACACGTTCCTTTATCTAGAAATCTTCATCCATCTGGCCAAAAATCGACGGTCAGTCATCAGCTCCCTCGAATATCGTCTCGAAATGTTCCTCCATGGGATTTCAAAATGGCAGACGCATTGTAATGTATGCATTATGAGGGCCCGCTTGGGCAAATATGAATATGCATTGTACAGTTTATGACCTTTTGTTTGCATGGCCGGGCGCGGGGCCAAGGGGTTTCAGCATCTAGACACTGTTCTTTTCAGTGTTGATCTCTTTTTCCCCCCAACAGCTTCAGCATGCCGACTGTGATACTCTTAGACGTCTCGCTTTCGATGACGCGACCTGTCGCCCCAGCTGAGGGCAGCAGCGGTGGTGATGTCATCACCAGACGTCAGCTGGCCGAGGCGGGGCTAAGCGCCCTCTTTGACTTCGTGGCAGCCAACGATAAGCTGGAGTTCACCGCGCTGGTCATCTTCTCCTCACTGTGGGAAGTGGTGGTGCCCTTCACCAGAGACTTTGCTGAACTGAAAGTATGGAGTTTCTTAAAACCCCGTCTTTGTCTTAACTTCAGGACGTTTTAGGCCCCCTGAATTTGGGGGCTTTGGCTTAACATGTTTGGAATGTTATCTGCCTCATGTAAAAATCCTGTGGAGTCTGTGCACAAAATACCAGTGGCGTAACTAGGGTTTAACTTCTGTTTAAATTTTCCAATCTCCTTATCTTGAGATTGGTGAGCGCCTCACGCGTACTGCATGATTCGGTGCAGAACGCACTGGTGCTGGTGTAGTGTGAACTTAGGACTATGAAATACTGACTCACCGGTAGTATTGCCCATGCTTATGTGAGGATTGTGAACGTTCATCCAATAAAACGGTAAAAGGTTCAGGATTTCACAGGAGTCCAAATTTTATGTGACACTGGAAAAGTGTTTAAGACCAGCCAGCCTGTCTTTATCATCCGTTTCAGACCGGCCACGTGACGGGCTCTCGACCAATGGGAATGGGTAAACTGTCTTAGGTATTTATGAATGTCAATTTAAAATGAACCCTTGAGTGCTAAGATACGCTTGGATGCCAAATTGCTAAGGCAACATCAGTCATATTTGATATTGATTCAGTAAAATTTTTATTAACATTTGTTTGTGTCTGGATTTTTGGAATGAAATTTCAGCACTTCATTTTGTTTTCTGTTGACAGAAAGCACTGTTATCTGTGGAGACATTTGATAAAACAAACCTTGAGGTTGCATTGGAAGGAGTCAGAAACATGGTGGTGGAGGAGTGGGGAGTTAGTTCGCCATGCCAGGTAATCCCTGCAAGTTGTGTGCATGTTAGTTTGTCTCTGGATTGCATTCGCTTTCTTATAAGTGAGAATGTGCTATCCTTCATGCCCAGTGGTGGATTTTGAAGGATTCCCAAATGATAATTTTTAAGCAAAATGCCTATGATTTTTGGACTTATTATGACAGTTTCATGTGAAAGGATTAAAGGTGGTCATTCTCAAGTTGTTACATTTTTATACCAAAATACATACACAAAGATGTCACACAATGGTTTTCCATGAATGTTCATCATTTGATTTAGCTCGCAGTTAGCAAAAAAACAAAACAAATTGAAAAATGTGTGATGTAACATAATAAGTATTCAAGGTAGAAGTGTTTTTGGAAAGAAAAAAAATATATAAAATGAAAGCACATTGTCTAAAGTCCTGTTCACATTGGGCTAATATTTTATTAAAGATTTCACCACGATAATTTGGAAGAAACCGACCGGGTAAAATGTGTCTGCACTTGGATTTTCTTACTTTTGTGGCTTGCTCTCCAAGTTGCAAGATAATGTGTTTTGAAATGTCTTTGGGGTTTAGTAAAGCTGTAACTGTGTTGATTCTCAGTTCATACGGTGTTGATTTTCAGATAATTTTGGTGACGGATGGCAGCCCAGGCATCGGCCCAGGCTCACTGAAGCAAGTTGCTCAGATGCTCTCCGACCCCAAACCGGATGACCCTCCCTTCCCCCTCCCCTTCGAGTTCTCCAACAACCTACACATGGTACTGCTGTCCACACCAGCCGAGCTTCAGCAGTGGAACTCCCAGGCCCTGTGTCAGAGACTCCTGGACGCCAACCGACAGAACGGGAAAGTTCACAGTGTAGAGGGCGCCCTCACCGTCAAGTCTGCGCAACAGATGTTCACCGCGCTTGCCGAAGAACACTACTCGGCGTTCCACGCCAAGCTGGTCTGTGGCCACCTGAGTTCGGACGTGCAGCTGTTCCCGCCACCGCAGAAGTTGAATATCATGCGTGACTTTGAAGTGGTGTCGCAGACGGTTTCGTCTGAGCTTAGCATCTGCGGCTTCTTGGACTGCTCTGATGTATGCAGCCCACCCGTCATCTCAAGACATCTAATGCTACCACTTCCCAATAAAGGCAAGCCAAATCCAACCTGTTGTACATGTAAATTTCATCTGCAGAGTTTATTTATTGATAGTGGTTCCTTTATTTCACTGATGGGTTTTAACCTCTTGGGGATTACACACAGGCTTTCAATGGGAATTGTTTTCCAACCAAGTAGGGGTGAGAGCCACCATGCTCCCATAGCAAAACACACATTTGTACATGTAAACAAAGCATGACATCAGACTTATATTTCAGGTCAATATGTATGGGCAGCCATAAAACATAAACTTAAACCATGGTTGACGCATTTTTTCCCCTGTTACGGCACGTTTACACCGGCTGAGGAATCTTCATTATATCTTTGGTACTGGAAGTGTTTCAAGGTCGTACAGTGCATTACCATAGTCATTACAGAACATTATACATATTATTTTAAAAACTGAGCTGTTCTTTGGTTTTGCAATAGCTGTTACCCTTAACTTCCCAACCTGTTGTTTGTAGAAATGATGGCTGTTATGTAGAAAAAGCAAGGTCTATGGTCTTTGTGCATGAATAGTACCGGTGTAGCGTGAATATCCGACTCCATGATATGTGGACTCATTGATAGTGCTACGCAGGCGTAAGTAATATACCGTGCTATTTTTAGGATCGTTTCGGGAGAGTGACCTGTCACGTGCGAGGGATTAACCAATAATAGGGAAAAAGGGGTCCGATTTTCATAGGAGTCAGATTTTCATGTGACACCGGTACATATGAATAGCACTTCATCATCACCAGAGCTCTGGGGCTTGTCTCGATTTGCTTGGGTAATAATGCACAGGTTATTTTGTTGTGAGTGTGCACAAACCAGAAGTGTCTTTGTGTGAACGTCAGGTGCCATCTCCCCACTGGTCTTCCCCAACTATCACTGTGAACCATCAAGGGTGGGGGGTGGGGGGGGGGGGGGCTAGGCGGGTAGCGCCACCACTGTTTGGAGGTATGTCATTCCCTTCATGGACAGCAGCACGCACACATGGCGGACGAGCAAACTAAATGTAATGCACACAACTCTACGACACATACAATAACACAGAGTTACACGTAGCTAGCTACAGCGCGATATCATTACCATTGCCCAATGGCAGTGTGTTGACATCACACAGTCAGTCATCACTCCACACTGAGCCAGTCAAGTTCCTAGTTTCGAACAACGCTATGGCCTACTCGTTGAGCCAGGCAACCGACTGTAACGCAGGGAAAATACCATTTGAGATAAAGCATTTTCACTTTCGTCATGTTCATAAATTTGGCCCAAAAATGTTCATGTTGAACTGAGGGATTTCCTTTAAACGACTACAGAGTACAGATAAGACCTTTGATGATCTTTCTAGGCAATAAAAATGAAATATTAAAAAGGCGTTTCCACAAAAAAGATCGTTTTTGTGCCGGAATTAAAGGGGCGTCCATGAAGGTGCTACAACGCGGTAAGTGCATTCAAGCACGTTGCGTGCAGGATTCACTGCATGATAGACCAACGCGAATGCGGGTTCTTTTCTAGAATTGGTCTTTCGATACTGAACTAATATACACGTTTGGTATAGAACAAAAGCTTGAATAATGTCTGTGGAAACCAAAAAGCATTAAAATTAAGACTTGGATCCGATGTTCATTTTCCCCAACGTTTCAAACACCCCTATTTTTCGAATGGAAGAGGCACACAGACGGCCGTTCCCACTCGGCTGTGCCCTTTAACCCCCTCCTCCCCGCCCCCCCCCCCCCCCCTCCACCCTGCCCTGACCAAGTGGGTACTTTGTGCACGGAGTCCATAGCGGGGTCAGCTAATAGCCATTGCTTTCTTGCAGAAAAGAGTTCCGTCACCTCAGGGGAGGGAGGAGCTGAAGGCGGAGACAAGACTGAGGAAAAGGATAATGGCCCCACCCCTTCTGAAGTTGGCTCCACCCCTTCCTTTTGTGTGCTCCTACATGGCAGCTTGAAAGTTGAGAACCTTGTTGCACTGGTAAATGTTGGGTATGTACATGTACATGTAAAGTTAATTCTGATGCACTCCTTAATGCAGCCATCATCCAAGAGTGATAACGAAAAGCAAACTACCTACCCAACAAATAAATAATTTGAAGTCATTTCTGATACCTGAATGGCAAGATTACAAAGAACAGAGGTAACGGGAACAATAAAAAATATCACACGTTCGACCCTAAATGTATAGAATGACCCTTATCATGCATATAGGAATTCCCTGTTGACTGTATTCAGAATTTGAAGGAACTATGTATAGTGTGTGTACCAAAGAGTTATAAAACATCAAAAACAACTTCGGGTGTCTTTCATTTCAACTTTTGTCAATACCAAGCGTAATGGCATGATCCTATTGGTTTTGATGATTGTAATAATCTCAATTACATGTATGTGGCAATATTGTTGGAGAAAAAACTTTGTTCAACACAAATCAGTTCATGAAACAGAATTTAAAGTGATTAAAAAACTCACACTTTTGAGTTTTTTAAACAGAAAAAAGGTTTTCTCTAACAATTTTGCAAAGGTCTGGTTGCATGAAGTAATCCAACGTACTACAGTGAGCCCAGAAAACTCTGTACAAAAAAAGGCTCTGACAAATTGCAAAATGTGGTTTTTTTCTTCATCAGTGAAAACTGGTACGGGTTGTTGCACTCCTGCGCAGACAGCAAAAAGAAGTCCAACCTGATGATGTCATTGTTTGAGCATGGAGACAAGGCTATTCCATGGCTGGGAAGGTTCCATCTCTTGGGGCCATGCTCAGGTAATTACGAGGACAAGTATGAAAATGGGAATAAAACACTTTCTTGAAACCAGATACATTGTCAATGTTGGGTCTTCTAAGAACAAACAAATCCCAAACATCTAGAAAGATATTGTTTTAACCCTAACCCACCTCAATTCTCCAAAATCCTCCTGGCAGTTTTGGAGGATTTTTGGAGGATTGAGAATGAATGGTGTTTGAAAAGGAGGAGGATTTTGGAGGTCTGAGGATGAATGCATTTTTTTAGGCAGGACAGTCTGACGATTTTGAAGGAGTGAGGGCCTGGGTATCCTTCATTTGAACATAAGTGCACAATTTTGGAGGATTTCGGAGGATTGAGGATGGTTCCTAGCAAACTAGGGCCTACTGGGTTGGGGTTAATAGCATTATTGCTAATTATCCTCCCTGAATTGCAAAGACTTGTTCTTTTCTACTGAATTTGAGTGATTTTAAGTTAATAGAAAATTTGGCCCCTTGCAACTTTTGAAAAATTGAACTGTACCCAGAACTCTTGAAGTTCCTACTTGGTGTAACGATTAAAGCATTAATACAGTCATCTCTCTGTGTTACACCCCAACAACCACAACAAGGAAAAGCTCGCTTGAAGTGCATGCTAGACCCTTGAACATCTTTTTAAAAGAATTAAACTGTAAATCCTCAGGCGTTTCTGTTAAAGCCTTCAAGTATCCTGCGTAGAAATCCAGTGTAGCTCATTCTTTGTACCTCGGCTTTCAAGGGGCATAAAACCCCATGAAAAAAATAACAATGGCTGCGCTGTACCTTCTTCAATCCTACAAACTCCTTCAAAACCTGGTGGATTTTAAAGGAACCAGGAGGGTTAGGGTTAAAGATGATTCAACAGAATTGTAGTCCAGTACTTTCCGAGTACTTTGTTTACTACCAAATATTGAGCTAGCTGTTGTGAACAACGCAAGAGAAACATTGACAGTAGACAGCAAACGAAGTCAGTGTTAGAGGGTACAAAATAAACTTGGGACTTTGGATGCATAACAAAAAACATTTAATTGATCTTTTGGGACAGAAGTTCTCTAAAAGTACTAGAAAAGTATTTGGCGAGTACATGTACTTTCGGAATACTTTGTCTTAAAAGCTTAGTTTATACAATATTCTGAATGTCCAAAGTCTTTGATTTCTTGTGGTAAGTATTTACTGTCCAGTAGAGGGGGAAAAATAAACTTGGGACTTGGGATACATAAAAACACTTTTTAAATGATCTTTTGGGACAGAACTGAGAATTACTCGAAAAGTGCTCGAAAAATACTCGGCCAGTACATGTACTTTCCAAATGCTTTTGTCTTAAAAGTTTAGTTCATACAAGATTATGATTGTCCAAAGTCTTTATTTTCTTGTGGTAAGTATTTCTAAATGTCTGTATTATGGAGCTTTATCCATACCAAACCATCTTAATATCTGGTTGTTAAGCGGGTACTCGGAAAGTACTCGACTACGATTCTGTGATACAAATTCAAGAAAACTGTCCCCCACATTCTCTTATACGCGTACAGTTGCATAAGGTGAGACAGTATGTGTTTCAAAGTTATCGTTTCAAATATCCAGTGAAAGAGCACCAGAAGAACGACATTGACCAAAGAAGGCTGCCAACAACTGACAACAGGTAGCTCAGTTGGAAAGGTCCCAATATCTCAGGTCCCAGGACCCAAACCCTTTTGTGGTAAGCGTTCTATGTCGAGCCAAAAATTGATTCAAATGTTGACGTTTAATGTCGCCAGCAGCATTTGCCAGTGATCCCTACGGAGAGGACAGCAACAAGACCCCGTTTCCTGTCCGTCTCCAAGACAAAAGAAGTTACTCCCAGAATCCTGTCGTCTGGATCAGGCCCAATTCCCTGCAGGTAAAAGCAACATTTGTGCTTTAAAATATTGACTGCTTTGAATGGTATAATAAAACTGGCTACAAAAATTATTGACTGTTTTTTCCTGGAGGTAAATGCAACATTTTGCTAAAACAAATTGACTGCTTTGAGTGTTAAAGTAACACTGGTCTCCTGAGGTGTTCCATTGAACGTTTGATTCATTGGGTTTCTATTTCTCAAAGTTATGCACAGATAGTCAATATACCTGTTTGGATTTGCAGAATAAAATGAATCCTTTGCAAAGATTATTTAAGACTCATAGAGGTCTTCTACAAGTATTAAATTTTTTTTAAAATGATGTACGTATTTCTTTATTTGTGTATTTACCTGTAGACTGATATTCAAAAGATTCTTCGTTATGCCAGGAAGTTGCCTGAAAAGACACAAGTTTTCTACAAGGTAATTTCTAATTGTGAAAAAAATGGTTGGGAACAAAAAAGTTGGGAAAAATACTTAGCGAAAAACTGCAAATAGTCAGATTGTGATTCATATGTAGCAAGATATGTGAGAGAGGACCCCCCTCCCCTTTTTTGTGTTGGTCATTGGTTACCGGAATCTCAGGAGTTCTTTCGATATATTAAGGGGGACGTGTTGGATAGTAATAGTCTAGGGTGTATCTTTGGGGGGGGGGGGGTTACCCTCTGCCACAAATCCTGCAGGGTATATTTTGACGAGTTTCAAAGAATGAAGTCTCGATATCCACATACTACTACATTCTTCATCGTACTTTCATGGTCGTCAGTCATTGCAAAAGTGTTTGCAAAACCCGTAAATTTGGCATTGATAGACAAACAGTAACATTTGGTTAGAGAATGCTTTGTGCCTCCCTAGAAAATTTGTACACAACCAACCCAGTGAGTGCTGCATTTCTTTCCAGAAAGTGATTTCAGATTGTATCTAACACCTGTTTTAAATTATATATTAACCCTAACTCCCTAGCATGATTTACTAGGAACCATACCCATCCTGGCAAACACCATATGGGAAACTGCGCACACATATTTCTGACTTTGATTCTGGAGGTGTGCCAACCCAATGTAAAAGACTGTCAGTTTAGGGGTACTGTACCCATCCTGACAGATTCCAACAAAACATGCCTTTGGGGTTTGATGGGTTGAGTTCTGTTAGGGTTAATTATCCATTGACTGGACTTCTAACTGTTTCAAATGTCAAGTTGTTCATGTACATGTACTTAACCCAAAGCCTCAAGGGGATATTGGCTACAAACACTGCTAAATGCAACAACATGAAACACTTGTCAAAATGACAAGCCTGCCCAGCGTAGCAAGATCCATCAGGGCAAAAATCTCAAGGTCATAAAATGCCTCAGAGTCTGTGGTCACCATATGCAGCAATATACAACTGTGGCACCGTCCAATGGACTAGCTCTCATTGTCACTGAATTGGCAGTTTATGCACTGGCGTTAATTGCACAATTTCATTCATTCATTGAGTTTACAGCTTTCTCCATTGACATAGAGTTGCTCATCCGCGTTTGTGCTAGACAATGCAGCAAGGTCCCTAAGACTTTTACATGGTCAATCCAAACCTTTTAAATATTTTGGTTTGATGTGACTGTAGAATGCCACTCTGAAAACGGAATCATCATTGGCTTTTGCTGTAATTTTCAGAGAAAAACAAAAAAGTTCAAGTAGTCTGGTTCCCTGACTCCACTAAAGATGAAATGGATCAATTTATAGGTGCTAGAAAAATGTAAGGTAAGGGAACCGGTCTAGCTGTTCTGCACCTGTTCATGAACATGTAACCAATAGCAAACAAAATTTGGACAAAAAAAATGGTAAATTTTGGAGCAGTAGTTGAAAAAAGTTGGGTTTCCCCAACAGTGGTCGGCCGACCACCGTTGGAAATTTATACAAAAAATACCACTTTTCTTGAAAATGACTTCACACCTGGTGCCAAACTTTTACAGGATGCTTTAGACTGTCATTTACCAACATCCTATTAAGGTATTTCGTAAAAATTTGGTAGTTTTGTTTTGCGATGTTTGCAAATGTTGTATATTCCCTTTAAGCTGTGTCTTGATCTCATCTGACAGGAGTTGAACAGGCTGCGTCGTGCAGCCCTGTCGCTGGGCATGACAGAGCTCCTCTCTGGCATGTCCCAGATGCTGGAGAGAGAATGTACCATCCTGCCCTGGACTGCCCACCCAGACGCCGCCATGCAGCTGACCCACGCGGCCAAAATGATGACCAGTGCTGTGGAGAAAGGTTACAGCTATAGCATCATCCCGCTATCCACAAATTTTGCCACGGATACCTGAAACATGTCGTGGTGAACACTGAAACCTCAAATAGAGTGCCACCAGACCTTGGAATGTTTGCCGTACTGGCAAAGAATGAGTTGACCGAGAAACAGACTTTAACTCGGATACCTAAAACACGTCTTGAACTCATGATAAAACACTGATTCAGACACACAAAAACCAGCAAACATCAGAGTGCCTCCAGTCGTCAGACCTGTTTGGTGTAGCAGCAAAAACAAGTTTGATCAGGAGCTGTGATTGACTGTAGTTGTTCATCCAACCTTCATTGAATGAGTGCCAGTCAGTAGCAGTTGGACAAGTATAATGAACCATTGGAACCAGCCTAATGAGGTTTTTGCATTGATCATTGGTTATCAATGGCCATGCATACCGTAACACAGCAGGGAGCCAGGAGTGGATGCATTCATGTTGACATGTAGTCATACTTTGACCAAAGAGCCTTCAAACTTTGCCACTAGCCTGCAAGTATAGGATCAGACCAGAGTTTCCCGTCACTAACAACACATGAGTCAAAAGCAAGGAGAAAATGAAACTCTAGCGGGCGATTCAACAGCTTGAACTTGCTCCATTCTGATGACTGCACATGTGTCCAGGCAGTGAGATCCTAGCTATCAGCAAGGTGTTGACACACCAATATGGACTCCATGAAGGAACATAAGATCCCACTGCCTTGCCTACTCATGAGAGCCTCAGTGTGCAAGACATTGTATGTACCCGTACATACACTCTTGTTTTACTATACTCTCGAGGACAATGCTTTGTGTTTCCCTTTGTCCCTGTAATATAACACTCTCCCATAGACTGAGCACACAAACTTACTACAGAGGACCGTTTCCAACACAAGACCCAACTCCCGAGGACTGAAAGGATCTGTTGTTCTCCCTTTGTGTGTTGGTCCTTGGGGGTTATGTACAACACGTACATATGTACCTTCATGGTACAGGGTCAACGCAACCAATATTCATCAGAATGTAAACAAATCCAAAGAGTTTTCGCAAAAGAGATGCAACATGAGTGTGGGGGCACGGCAGTAATGTCCATCTTTCTCTCTGAGGGAGTTACCTGCGTGTACACATGGAGTACCTGAGACCAGATAGCTTTCTGTAGAGTGCTGGAAATCTGGTCTAGATGTCTCAGGTCTGAGCCAAGTGTATGCAAGTTTTGGGCCATGATGGGGTGTTTGCTGCATGAAGCAAATACTCTTTAGTATTTCAAGCAACAGTTGAGGCAGTGCTTTTCACCATTGTAAGTGTACAGTGATCATGTGACCAGCTTTGTCTGTGAACTTCAGGTCAAGTTACTGAGGATGTGACTTTGCGTTTAATTTTGTAAACATTTCACAACTGTTTTAAGAACTGTATAAAAGGCTGACACCTGTCCATTATGTCTGCAGACCGGCAAGATTGACATGATAAATCAACGATAACTGACATACTAAATAGGCAGTTATTGAAAAAGTCAAAACAACTTAACTACATGTACTCAGAATGTACATGTACAGTAATCAAGTAAGATTTTGTTAATTAAACAAGTTTGAAAACACTGTTAATTATCTGTACTGCATGTATGTTTAACTCAAAGGAACATCGAGTGAACGAAGGTCACTTTTTTATAGTTTGGGTTTTGTTTAGACGTTTTGGGAGAATTTGTAAACGGATTTATTATAATTTTTTTCATCCCCCACTTCAAACTTTCGGTTGCTAGATGATGCCATTGAACACATGGAAATTGTGATGGTGAGCCCACAAATGCTAGAGTTGTACTCCAATCAATTACGAGTCATGATAGAAGGCAAGTCTCAAGTTATAGGAATGAACAATAACAAAGAAATGTCTGTGTCATGTTACATTTCAACAGATTGTGACTTGTATTGAAACTGGATGCCTTCTGAGTACTAGTAACTGTGGAGTCTTGATTCTCAATCACAAAACAGGGTCTCATTTTCTCCAAAAAGTCATTCCCTCACTTTGGTAAAAAAAACGTGTGGATCAAGTATCCACAAGTTTTTTTTTTAAAACCTACAATTTTTGTAATAAACTGCAGTTGTACATATGGATATTAACTATTTAGAATGTTGTGGTTTGTCCTTTTTTCAGTTATTTGCCGTCTTTAGTTTGAACATTTTGTCATCCATTTTCATACTCTGAGAATGCAGAAAAGACAGAGTGCAGAGCTGGCAGTCCTTGGGGCCAAGAGAGAGGGAGACAATGTTGGGAAGTGTTGAGGGGGTGCGTTATGTTGTCTTAGAAGATAAAGGCAGGGTATTTGGTCTGCAGTTTTGAATGGCAAATTGGGTCGAGATGGGTTTACAACCAATTATTCCCGATATTTATGCTCTTTGAGCGGGCGCGTACCTGAGTCGGAGAGGGGGGGGGGGGGGAGGCAGACGACAATCACAATTTCACAAGTTTACATCGTTCTCTTAGAATTAAGCACATTAATCAGTGGGCTTGTGGGGCCCATATGCATTTTTGGGAACACTCTTTGAAACTCTCAGGATCACTTATTATGGATGCCTCAACAAGTTCAAATCCATTTGATGCCATTTTTCTGACCCTTTTATGGGCGGGCCGTGACAAAAAAAAAATGATTCCGATAATTCCACTTTTCTTTTTCGCATTTGGAAAGCTCACCCAATAAAATAATTCCAGAATTTTGCCTCTGTTGGGGTGGGGCCACATTAAAAAAAATAAGTGGGGGGCAAAAGGCGTAAATAGAAAATCCACCTGTAACGGGCAATCTTGGTGCGTTTTTTCAATCCAGTATTGTGAACGGGTTGGGCAGAATATAAACATGTCAAATCAAAAACCTGCTGTTCCCCTTTGGGGCGCATGCCACAATTAGGGGCACACCTTGCATCTGAAAAAAACCCAACAAAACAACCCAGATTGTTATTTTTTAAGACATTAAATAGGCAAAAATATAAAGCTCGTTAATGTTTCTAGGAAATAGCTGGCATGGTCTTTTGTTTTTAGGCGTAAAACTAAAATGTCCAAAAGTGGTAATTGTAGTAGGGAAAAAAGTTGGTGAAAAAGTGAAAGGCCAAATATTATGTCTGTTTTTTTGGGTCAGAAATCAGCGAAATAAAAGTTTATCACACTCTACATCTTTAAAGGTATCTCAAATTGCTATTTTCATTCGACAACTGAAATTTACACAAAATTTGATTGTTTACTCAAATATACTCATATTTTGGTGTTTTTTTTTAAACTCTTTCCTTATTAATTCTAAAAATACTTTTTAATCCACCCCAAAGTACCCCTTTTATGTGCCGTATTTGCTTTAGAGAATAGACATTCCGATCCAGATCGATTTTGTTTTTATCATTGCTCTTTTAAAAAAAACTTTACCCCTCTTTGATACATAAAAGCGAAATACAATTTGGATTATAATATCTTTTAATTTACTGCTTAGACTGAGGCCAAATTCAGAAATAGATTGACATACGTTTGGATTATAATATCTTATAATTTCTGTTTGTTTGTACCCCCAAATTATGAAGGTGTCCCGCCACTTAAAAAGAAAGTTTGCGGTCCAAAATTGTGTTTCAACATGTAATTCTCAACTCAAGTTCTTCATCTACTGCAAAAAGTCTTGATAATGACTCTCCTTTTGGGCTTATTTCGACACTTTTTTTTCCAAATGGACGCCTTTCCTACAAAAATGTCAGAGTAAAATGGGTATTCAATATTGTACACTCTTTATTTTAGCCATAAAAAAAACAATACCCCGAAAACGATTTTCTGTGGGTAGACAAAAATTGGCATCAAATGTCGTGCGCAATTTCTGAACTGGAGCGCCTCATTTAAAACCAATTTTTAAACTGTACAAAGGCCTGCAAAAACAAACCAACTTTTATAACTAATTTTTAAAACTATATAAAGGCCTGCAAAAACAAACAAGCAAATATACTTATTACAAGACATTATATTCCTTTAAATTTCGTTCGGAAAGGAATATCGAAATTTTGAAAAAGCACGTATATGGGCCTATACCAATTGCATATGGGAGATGATTTGTTAACATAAGCCAACTGGTGGTACAACCTAGTACTGAACAACAGACGACGAAATTAAAATTGGACGGTCCGGAGCCTATTAATGATATACTCCAAAAGCTATTTTCGAGTTTCACCTTTAACAATTTATTCCTTTTCTAAGTTCTTTATAAAGCACTACAAAAGTTATTCACGTGCTTTTGAATGAGTCATCGGAGGTGAAAATCGGCCCAAGCTTTAGTTATTGGATTTTACTCTACAATTCCGATTTATTAGCCGTCTGAATTCCGTGCTCAGGTAGGCTTGGTTCACCCACAACCAGTGTCGATAATGTAGGGACTAGTCTGCTCGCAAAGCGGATCTATCATTGCGGCCAATAACAAAAACTTTTTTTCCGGTTTGCAGACGTCCAGAAAGTGTTTTGGGTTGGAATAAAACATACACGTTGACAATTTATCAATAATTCTGCATAGGATGCAGACGAGTTGTGTCGTGCCCAACCGCCCCCCCCCCACCCCCACCGGACCACGATATGACCGGAACAGAAGCCCATTTTTATCAGGATATTTTGTTTTCCACTGCTTATGCCTATAATGACTAGGGTCCAATGTGTGCACGGGGAGGTGTATCGTTGGGGAGGATGTCATTTTCTCTGTAGGGTCTGCACCTCCGTGGGCATTAAACACAATAAAAAGTCCTTCCCCGCCCCCGGAAATTTCAAGTGAGAGGAGGTGGACTCGGAGGAGGGAGGGAGGGCGGGGGGGGGGGAGGGTCAGGCGTCCGAGGGTGTGAGAGGGGGACATGCGCACCTATAATTAATCGTGTGTAACTGCATGCGAACTAAACAAAAAGTAACATGCATGGAGATTAAATAAACATAATAGCAAGCTAATTAATCATCCTTGCTCCGCATCCTCTAGGCCCTTCGCAACTATTAGTATTATTATTGACTTTTTCCCTCGCCTATCATGATTTACAAATTTAAGTCTAGCTTGCTCAAGTGATTATATACACTGAAAAAAAATAAACGTTCTGTGCCCAGTGATCTTTTCTTCGGGGCTGTTCTTACTTAATACAATAAATCAACGGGGTTGGGATAATAATGTTCTGACCCTTCACCAATCCCCCCCCCCCCCCCCCCCCCCCAAGCCAGGCCGCGGCCAGGATCGGACTGCTTGCTTGTCTAATTGGATCAAAACAATACCCACACAGCACAGTGTGGGTCCCCCATTGTTCTCAAATCTGACAAGCATGCATTATAAAAGAAGTAGACCCACGCTTCCAGTGACAAAGCCTGTGAGGATGTTGAGTTGGTCATTTGTATTACTCATTCTTGTATGAGTCTCCTTGACCATTCTATCAACACGTTTAACCGGAAACATTCCGTGTGCATATATATATATATATATGCGCATGTGGGACAATAAAGAAAAAAGTGGACAACCCGTCAGCACTATAGAGGGCGCACTCACACTGAGCTTGCGTAGAAAATAACAAAACGCCATTTTCCGAGAACTTTTGTTTCGGACACGGATTCGGTGAGAGAAATAGGCCAAAATATCACACGCAGGCAGAAGGAAAAACATGTAAATATGGCCTGTGTGGCGTCACTTAAGCAAGAACTCCAACTCTCAGAATCACTATTCGGTAAGGATAATGAGAGATTTCAGATCCACGCTGCCACCATGGACGAGTTGACATGCAAGTTCATCGGCTGCAACAAGGAGGAATTCGTCGTACATTGTAATTTCACAGTGAGTATCGACGACAGGCGTTTGGCACTGGAACCAGGAACAAATAAAGCAGGCGAAGGGTCTTGGTCGTTTGTCAATCATCCACACGTTTCAGTAGAAAATCGTTTCAGTACAAAAAAGACTAGCGTGTAATGTTGTCATCATACCAGGAAAAGCTTACGTTATTTGTCATGCTTGTTTCTTTATGTAAATTCATTTATTTTTAGTTTAAACGTGATTAAAAAAGGCAGTGTATATTTTGCCGGCAGGCCGGAGACGGCAAACCTTTAGTAAACGTTAGTTTGCAGGATATGCACTGAACATGCGCAGTTACTGTTTTTTTGTACTTAAACATTTTCCGGTGACAAGTTTTAGTCTGGCTCCATGCCAAAATTATCGTTGTTACCTCGTATTCACAAGATGGGATTCAGACCATTTTATAATTTCGGACTTTATTTCCCTTTTAAAAAAAATCCTTCAGAGCCACAAATCTGAAAAAGAAAATGTAATAGTGCAAAAAATGTTTGAGACATGTTAAAATAAAAAAAAAAGAGTATTCTTATTTATTTGGGGATGAGAAAAAAAAACTTAAAAATGTGGTGCGGTCGGAATCGAACGCGAGTCATCCCGCTTGCTAGAGCCTTTGCTTAACCTCTACACCAAACGTGCTACACAACTTTTGGTGGGAATTTAATACATCTTATAATTCAGCCCTATTTTAAAGAGTACAGCGCCCTCTGTTGATATGGATTGCCGCCGGCAAACCTTTAGTAATCGTTAGTTTGCCGTCATTGCCTCCGGCAAAATATCCACTACCATTAAAAAAACCTTTGGCTTCACACTCAGTTAGCTTGGTCAAAGTGGGCCCCCACAACAATGTCTGTGACTGTGTCTTGTCATCGGGATAACTGATACTGCAGTGGATATGGGTCGTGGGACTTACACCAAAATACTCATCGTTAAATCATGACCTTGATCATGTTGATAGAAAGAACACAGTATATATTCATAACTATTTTGATCGTGAACAAAGTCTATTGGAGTCGGGAACAATCTTTTAACTATTTCCCAAAAAGTTTGAAATATCTCACATTCTTGAATAATCTGGTGTACAAACACACACAACCCCACAAATCTGCCGAGATAATTACATGTAGGCCATAATGTCATGAATGTGTCTTGCCCTGACAAATATTGAAGCTCACTGATAACATTGTAATGTAATAGAAAGATGACTCTGTTGATTTTCTGTATACTTATAGGACTCATACCCACAGACTCGGCCAGTATGGTTTTCAGATTCAGAAGATCCCGTCTTGTCGACTGTGATTCAACGTTTGTCTGAAATAAGTGCTTCGGGCCAGCTGGTAAGTCTTAAACACCCCGGAAACAAAAACAAAAACATCAACAAAAACCTATGGTTCATGCCTTTCAGTTGAACCCTAACCGCCTAGGCCCTTTTTGCTAGGATGAATCCTCAATTCTTCAAAATCCTCCAACTACCACTATGTAAAAATTGGATACAGCATCAATCTTCCAAAATCATCAGTTAATACTTGGTGAATATGTTCATTGGAGGGGAGACCACTGCCTCAATCCTTCAAAATCCTCCAACGATCACTGTAATACATTGACTGAGGCAGCGCAGGTGATATCCAGAAGCAGTGCTAAAGATGTCTCAGTATAATGTACATGTAGGGCTCGATTATGCACGGCTGAACATAAACAATACAAGTTGCTGTTCAAGACTTTGACACAATGCATCCTTTGAAACAACCAACACTATTTGGCACCTGGGCTATTCTGTGGTCCTCAACTTTAGCCTTAAAGGGAATATACATCATTTGCTTTTGCTGTAATTTTCAGAAATGGATGGAATTGGGGGGTTGGAAATATAAAGCAAATATAGTTACACTGACTTTTTGGAGGTTTTGGGTTCGAAAGTGCTATAAAAACCAAGAAAAACGATCATTTTCCTGTAGTCTGGTCCCCTGACTCCATATAAGAAGAAACAGAGCAGTTTACATACATTGGGGAATTGTAAGGTCAGGGAACCAGTCTAGCTGGCTCGTACCCGTTCATAGGTTTGTAATCGATTGCAAACAAGTGCAATGGTCAATTGAGGCCAGTATTTGAAAAAAAAAGCCAGTTGTTTCCAACGCTGATCGGCCGATCAGCGTTGGAAATTGATACAAAAATACCACTTTTCTTGAAAATGACAGTATACCAGGTGCCATAATTTTACAGGATGCTTTAGACTGTCATTTACCAACATCCTATTAAGGTATTTCGCAAAAACTTGGTAGTTTTATTTTTCGATGTTTGCAAATGTTGTATATTCCCTTTAACTCCCTAGGCCTTTTTGCTAGGATGTCATGGATGTAGCCTCAATCCTGCAAAATCCTCCAATTGGAGTCGTGGAAATATAGCATATATTGTAGCCTCAATCCTGCAAATTCCTCCAATTGGCCTCATGGAAAAATAGCATGTATAGCCTCAATCCTGCAAATTCCTCCGCTATTTCTTGAATATGGTCCATGGAGGGATGACCACTGCCTGAATCCTGCAAAATCCTCCGGCTATGACTGTCAATAGGCTGAGGCAGAGGCAGTGACATCCTGGAGCAGTGCGGAGGATGTCAAGTATAATCAAGGACTAAATTTATGCACGGCTGAGCATAAACAACACAAGGTCCGGCCCGAGACCTTGACACAGTGCGTACTCCGAAATCAGCAACGTACTTTTGCCATGTAACCTCAATCCTACAAGTTCCTCCAGTTTGCAAAAAGGATTTTGGAGGATTCAGGGCGGTTAGGGTTAGATAGTCAAAGTCAATATCTCTTACTTTGATACAAGTCTGAAAATGTGTCATGTAGGCATTAAAGATAAACCAGTAATCGGTGTGTTCATTTAATTGATTTCTCATGTTATTTGTTTTGTTTTCATGATAGCTCCTAAAAATGATTAGGCGGCTGGTTCGAGACCTGTGCAAGTTACATAATGTCCAAGAACCCTCCACAATGTCCATCTTAGATCAAGAGCTACCCTCAGAGGTAAGACAATGGCAGAAGCTGATCAGGCTGTCTAATGGGATGCGTTAGAGAGATCAAGCGACAGAGTTGTCATTGAGTCAATCACAGGTCCAGTCACAAGGAACAGGAGATGAACAGTGACAGTGGATCTCCTTTGTCACAAATCTTATGTACATGTATAGCCTGGTACTTGACTTGAGACTGGACAACTGGTGTGTGACTTTTGATTGGCTTGTGATTGGCTTGTGATTACTTCTGATTGGCTTGTGATTGGCTTGTGATTACTTCTGATTGACTTGTGATTGACTGTATTTCAAGTCTGTCAAGTGGTCTGTTGTCAATCCATATGCGTTCAGACGTTCAAAATGGTTCTAGCAAATTTCATGGTGCAAATTATTGTTTCATTGTGACACCAAAAAATGAAGTAAGATACGGCCTTAGCAATGGCAGGTTTATCTCAACTTAATCAATGCAATCATGGTCTCAGGGTTGGCTGATTTAAATGACGTTGATTAAATCGCGATTTAAATCAAATGATTTTTTTATAAAAATCACTGATTTAACACGTTGACTGCCGCGCGTAATTTCACGGGGTGTGCCCATTTGCCAAGCGTTGTACGCATGCGCGCATACTTAAAAGGCCCTTTTTCGGTGACTATATGTTGTAGTGCATTCATTTCTAGTTACTCTATGTGGAAAAAAATATCTACGAGATAACTTGTAGGCTGGCAAAGGCATAGAATTGATTATTCCGGTTTGCCAGCTACGAGTTATCTCGTGCCGCGTCACTACGAGATAACTCGTAGGTTGGCAAGGGGTAACAAACTTCTTTGCTTCTCCGTGACAGTTATGCAATATATATATGACATTCTGCAACAGTTTTCACTGTGGTTGCCATTGGATTGCATGTTACATGAACTGAGCCATCCTAGCCACATTCATTATTACAAAATGGCGCAACTCAGTGCTGACAGAGTGGCATATCTCATGATGAATTCTGACAGCGCTAGCGATGATGATGATATGGATTCTGTTGAGGAATATGACGGAAATGAAACTTCAGAAATGCCCAGGAATGAAAGTGATTTGAATGAATCACAAACTGGTGAAAGTAGTGATTCTTTGTCTGATGGAAAAAGCGATCCAGCGATTTCTTCGGACTCGGATGTTTCAAGTGGCATCATACAATCAGAAATCAGAACTGTGAAGAAATATAAGAAATTAATCAAACTGATTTTGGGCGGGGGCGAATGGATAAGTTGTTCTCATTTTTTTTTTTTTTTTTGGGGGGGGGGGGCCTTCACTTTTCACTTTCATTTTCTGAAAAAGGGCAAAATGACCCCAGAGGCAAGGCAAGGTGCCCTCCTGCCCCCACCCCCCCCCACCCCCAGGCGGATAGACCAATGTGATCAAACCTTTTTGAAAAGCCACAAGTCTAAATGCAAAGAAATATTGGCTGTATAAGAATTTCTTTTTCACTCTGGATTGAAAATAAAGTACACAAGGTGGCACACGACATTTCAAATGTTGCCAATTTCTGATTTTATTTTTTCCAGAAAAACACGAAAACAAACAATGCTGACATAAACATTTTATAGATGTATGTCCTGGGCATTGCCAGCAGCGTTTTTGTTGCGTTATCAGTGATGCCAGTGTATTCAATGTACAATACAAAAACCTTTCGTTTTCTACGAGTATACTCATAGTGGCAGAATCCGGTACACCTGTGACTACGAGTATACTCATAGTCGGCAGTCAACGTGTTAAATCATTTTTTTGTAAAATCTTATTTTTGGCAAAATCAATTGATTGAGGGTCATTTTAATCATTAAATCAACTGATTCGACTTAATTACAAAGTGTAAGATGATGCTAACACATTCAAACACCCCTACTTCATCACCATCGACTCAATTTAGGTTTTGCATAATTACACAAAATCGTTGTTTTGATTAAGTCAAGATCTGAGTTTAAAAGTTTTTCTTCAAAGTTTTTAATTTTAAAGAGAGCACACTCACGTTTGCTTTAATCATTCCTTGATCTGTGAATCAACTGTGCTGGTGTAGACTTACATGAGCCATCAAAAAGTGTATTAAAATCCCAATTGATAGTCTTATTCCTAACATTTCTCCCTAAAAATTTAGATTGAGATTTATATAAAACCTTTTAAGGCCCCCCCAAAAAAGTCTCCGGTTTCTGGTATGTGCGCGCGTCGCCGCAGCCATGCGCGTCGGCAAAATGAAAAAGTTTTTTTTTCAATACAAGATGATGTCTCAAAACCGCCAAACTCACTGGTTTGACTGGAATCCTGCTGCTGCACAATTTTAACGTGTTTTTAAATGGGGTTATGATCGAGAATAAGCTTTATGTGGCCTCTCTGGACTCCCATATATTTGCACTAAGTTTAGTCGGGCACCATTTGCAGTCATCAGCCGACATTTGAAGCCAAAAAAAAAAAAAAAAAACAGGTAAAAAAAAAAAAAAAGCCTAAAGGTGCAACAGCTGATTTCTATTCTCCACCTTGGACCATCAATCAAACACTATAACTTACACAAGGATCAGTGCCGCTGGTTTTGAAATTAGAAGCATTTTTATGAAATCAACATGCCCATGGAGAACTGAATTTTTTTTTACCATGTACAGGTACCATAAATCAAGTTTTCGTTCATATCCACACACAACGTATCTCAGCTGTATCAATCAAGCAGTGTACCTTTAAAGTGTCTTCAGCATTAATGTACCATTGAACCAATGATGTAGACTACATGTAGAAGAAATCAAGTGATTGTTTTAAATCACTGATTCAATACAATTTTTTTTCAAATGCATTTATCAATTTATTGAGTTTTGTGGATGATGGGTATTAGGCGAAGTAAAAAAAAAAACATGTTTAGCGTCCCCGCCCGCTTCCTTTTTAGAGGCCGCCTCCTTTTTTTTTTTTTTTTTTTTTTTTTTTTTAAAAGACAAAAAATGATAAATTTTAACGATCTCTGACGAAAGAAATCGTATTTTTAGACTTTTATACCGTGTATAAAGCTGTGGAAATAGTCAATGAGTCCAAGTGGCGGCCATTTTGAAAAAAGCTGGTAACCATCTTGAAAAATAGCCCGGCCGCGTTGTCTTGAAAAATGTGTCGGGCGGCCATTTTGAAAAAAAAAAAAAAAAAAAAAAAAGGGCCTCCTCCTTCCTTTTTGTCAAAGAGGCAGGACGCTAAACATTTTTTTTTTTTTATTTTGCCTTATAGGAACCTGTAAACTCCTTTGTGATGGGTGTAAGGGTGCATGGGGAGATTTAGACACATGTTTAGACATACAAGTATGTCTCAATATTTTGAAAGTAAAAAAAAATCAGCAAAATCTGATTTAAATCAACAAAATCTGATTTAAATCAAATAAATCCGATTTTTATTTATTTATTTTTTTTTAATCAAAAAAAATTGCCAACCCTGCATGGTCTGGTGTAAAGTGTGTGGTTATTATTGTTTTAAGGAGAGTACATTATAAGTGACAGTGAGTCTGTTTGTGTAGTCTATCAGTCCATTTGTTGCAGAAAACAATTCAGGAAATGTCAGGAGTTTGAAAGTTAGGGGAGGACCCTACTTTTCTCAGAGGCCAGTGCTGTGTTCCTTTTCGTAGGGCATTTGTTCACTAAAACTGCCCAATCATCTTTTGTAGATACAAATATCACACTGTGATGAATATGGGCATTATCTGCTGGAAAATTTTGACTGTTTTCTCAATTTTACATTCATTCGGACTATAAAGCAGTTGAGTCTCCTTTTGTTGATTAGACTTACTCTTCCTTTGAATTTACTGAACCTTCCCAATAAACAAATGAAAACTTCTTTGTCAATCTCCGTTTTTGTTTTGTGTGTTTTTGCTCTGTGTGTGCAGAAAAGCGATGACGATGACGACATGGCCAGCGCTGATGAAGAGGATGGTCTGGACGATTATGCACACGACGACGAGGAAGACGATGACGAGAACGAAGAAGAAGAAGACGAAGAGAATCAAGACATGGAGGACTGTATGGACCATTACGAGATGGAGGAAGAACCAAGGTGAGAATGGAACCAAGTTATGGAGAATTTTATGGAACGAAAAATAAGGGAATAAATAGTGTGAGAGACAAACGTCTGGTTTAAAACCGGTTAAACTGAGGTTTTGAAACCAGACATTTAAAACTGCTCCACACTACTCCCATTCATTAAAACCTTTGTCCTGATGATGAGCAGAGCATACTGTTCAAAACGTCGAGTAAAACCAACAGGTTCTTCTCAGAACCACACAACTCACTGAGAGATTTCTATCATTCACATCATTACCGCAAACCTCCCATTCATTGATCATGTCCACCTTGCAAACCGTTTAGTCCCAAACATGGCAAAATTCTGACGATGTTTTGTTCAATTTAGACCGCCGCTATGGTGCCTGTCACGCGTGCATGGTTTGCTGAACATCTCATATTCTCCTTATATGCTGATCATATCAGCAATTCCCAAGCACCCGTTTGTAGGAGGTGCGTTGCGCAAACTGCGCGTATGTGGCACAGAGTGCATCGTCTCCCGACCGGTTTTAAACATTGCTGGCCACGTGACAGATTTTTGACCAATAGAATAGGTGAACTGTCTCGGGTATTTATAAATGCAGTTTTAAAAAGCAAGTTGAGGCTGAAAAAATCAAATGTGTATTAACTAGACCTACATGTACCTGGATATTTTGCAGCCATATTTTGCCCCCCTCCCCCCTCGGGTTCCACACCTGATAACCTTGATGTAGGCCAATTTCCAGTTGTTTTAACTATCTCAACATTTCTCCCACAGCAAATCAGTCAAAGAGAAGGATGACAAAGACATAGCTCCAGAGAACTACGCGGTACTGGAGAGATTAAAAACCAACCATAGAAGAGATTACTTAAAGGTGAGGCACTGCCACATCACACAGTGACATGTGGTTCATCCCAGACGGGTCATTTATTTACTCAGTGGGGTAAAACCGTAAGGGTGGTGTTAAAGATATAGTCCATCATTTGTAATTTGTGCATTTTGTTCGTTTGAAGCAACAAAAGTGTTCAAAATCTAAACAGGGGTGCTGAACAACTAACCTGATGAAGTTTCAGCTGTTTATTCCGAGAAAAACAGCATTCTAGGATCTCAATTTCAAATCGAAAGTTGCTGAATCATGTTTTGAATTGGGCCTGAATTTAGCGTGTGCGTCGTGCCAATGCTTGCGTGCGCTTCGCCGAATAACAAAATGAACTACTAATTTAAATTTTCCTACGGTGCGTCTTAAGACGCACCGTTGGAAAGGCCTTCTTTCGTTGATTACTTCAAAATGACAGCTTGCCAGAAAGAATAATTTTACAGGGAGTTGAGTCCACTTACTATCTTTCAACCAAGTATGTTTTTCAACAATAATTACGCCAGTTACTTTTCGGATGGCTGCAAGTGATGGACTATAGCTTTAAATTAAAAGCACATATATTCAACTATTCCATCATCCACTGTCCAAATTGCATTTTTTTATTCAAAAATTTGAAAAATGTGAGGTGTCTCGAGAAAATGATAATACAAGTTGCATGGTTTTCATTTTTGTCAAACGCCACATTTTTGCTGAAAGGCAATTCACACGCTTGATTGGAGAGCTTGCATGAGGAATAGTTAGCTCAATTTTCTTCTTTTGAAGTCTGCCAAAGCATTCCTGATGTTCCATGTATTACTTAATAAGCTCTTTGTCACATTTTGATATGCAAATTGCAATCATGAACCAGTTTAGGCTGATGTATGTAAAATTTCATTAGCACATTTCGAATATTCGATTAAAGCCCAAGTCAAGGATTGCATATGCCATTTAGTTCTTGTTTTGGAGTCATACATAGCTTGTGGCTAAAGTGACACAGAAATCCAATCCAAAATGTCCATTTTGTGGACGCTTTGTCATTTGTTTTCTTCTGGTATGGCAACCGCAAAAATTTAAACGAATTGCAAGCTTTTCCATTGAGACATTACATAATAAAACAAGTGTGATAATAAATTGCTCACTTTCATGTCAGATTCAAACTGGCTAGTCGACCCCAGCAAGCTCGGTGGACAAGTGGTAAGATGCCTGAATTAGTAAGCAGGAGGTTGTGGGTTCGAGTCCCACCTGACTAAGCTTGTGAATTCATTCTCACAACACCAAAGACGACTCGGAGTACACACTGCTTATAAAATAATGAATGAATAATGTGAATAAAGTGGATAGAACCCCCAATCTCAAAGGCAATCTTTAGGCAAGTAATTCCTTAATATGATTGTTCGTGTCTCCCATCCCCCTCCCCCTCTCCTCCCCTACAGGGCTCGGTATCAGGGTCAGTGCAGGCCACAGACAGACTGATGAAGGAGCTAAGAGATGTCTACAGGTCGGAAGCATTCAAGAAGAAAATGTACTACGTGGAGTTGGTCAACGACAGTTTGTATGATTGGCACATCAAAATACTATCGTAAGTTGGCCCTGTGCTTGCTAATCCTAATCGGTGGCATTTCACTCACAGGCTCCATAAACTTTTACAAACGGTTCTTAGAAGATGACCATTTCTCCCGCACCAAAAAACGGAAAATCTTCCACAAACCATGTAACTTTGACCGAATACATACAGTGGGGAATAGGCTTTTTAAAGCATACGTACTTGTATCTGCATACTCATGCGTTTGAACAGCGCCCCCTAGAGTCAGATGGATCGTTTCAAGAGATGACGCCGAAGTCTGAGGAGAGACCCGAGGTTTGGCAAACCAGCTGACTGTCAAACAAGACAGGGCAAGCCTGGTGGAGCCGGTCCCAGAGTGCACGCAATTCGGGCGATTCACAATGCAGTGCACCACCAAGAGTTTGCCACGGAGATTTCATTTTTCCCAGTGCATTGTGGGAGATGGTCGACAAATTCGCAGCGCGGGACATTTGAAATTGTTGATTTTTCCAGTCAGTAGTTGCGTAAGCGTATGATTCGAGTATACATGTTTGCCCTTTTCTTTTTATCAATATTTTTTTTTTTTTGTAAGGCGGCAGAACGCTATACCCCACTCTATAACAAGTTAGCTCAAGTTGTCTACTGACATTCGTTCAAATGGGCCATGTTTTGTCGAACAGAAACTTGAAAATTTGACTCTCCATGGCAAATTCTTGGTGGCGCACTGCATTGTGAATCACCCAAATTCTATTCATTTGATTTAGAAGGGCACATTTTTTTTTGTAGAATAGGGCTATAAAAAAAATAGTTCTTCTTCCGATTACATGGCATTTGGAAAATAGAGTAGGTAGGGTTTTTTTTTTTTGGGGGGGTGCATTTTTTGTTGTGTACGAACATATGGAGGTGTCTGGCTGTAGTCAAGGGTAAAAGGTAGTAATTGTTGATTTTCAGTTTTTTTCTTCATTCCCCCCCCCCCAAAAAAATAGAGTATGGGCTGTGAAAATAGGGTAGGTAGGGTAACAGGAAGCAGAACTTCTATTTTTTTTGGCCTTAGCTGTAGTGGTAGTGGTAGTGTAGTGATGGAAATGAAACAGCCACTTTTTCGCTGATCATGGAGATTTGACTTATTGCCTGCACGTGTATCATGAAAGTACATGAAACAAGCGGCGCCAGACTAATACACACGTGGTGTACATCCTTCATGACTACATGAATCTAGGCACGCCTCGTTAAGCTGTTGCCAGACCGATGTACATTACAAGTGACAGTCAGTCAGTGAGATAGGTAACCAGTCTACAATTCACAAGTTACAGTCAGTATTAAAGAGGTTGTGGAATGCTCGAAGACATTTCCGTCATTTTTCGGGTATATGTAGCCTAAGGTGTGATGAAATAAAAACGACTATTGTGTCTGTCATGAAATGAGTACAAAAGGTACTCTGAGAGCTGTTTTCCAGGTTCTGTTTCGACCCGAACGTGCAATTTGTGTAAAAGTCATCGTTGGGGGCAACAAACAAAACATAGAAAATCTTGACGTAATAAACAGGACACGTTTATACTACGCTGCATAGGGAGTCCTGTTTATTACGTCACGATTTACTATGTTTTGTTTGCTGCCCCCAACGACGACTTTTACACAAATTGCACGTTCGGGTCGAAACAGAACCTGAAAAACAGCTCTCAAAAGTACCTTTTGTACTCATTTCATGACAGACACAATAGTCGTTTTTATTTCATCACACCTTAGGCTACATATACCCGAGAAATGACGGAAATGTCCTCGAGCATTCCACAACCTCTTTAAGGTACAAAAAGGTTTGTCCTATCATGGAATTTGAGTTTGAAATTGTATTGGCTGAAAACTGTTCACGTGACGTACAAGTTCATGTATGACAACCGGATGGACTCTGTGGAGTACGTCACCTCATGTTCCACTGGAACCTCACCTTTCATCGTTTCCAAAGACTTTTTTGTCCCTGCTGCTTTTCTTTTACTCCCTCGGGCGTTCGAAACGCCCTGGCCTACATCACAGGAAACAACAGTTGTATACGGTACGCTGGTCCTCATGGACAGCAAAAAATACACTCAAGAGAGTGAGGGCTTTAAAGTCTGGAAAAATTGCTTTGTAATTGCAGGGTTGACAATGACAGTCCCTTATATGCAGACCTGAAGCAACTCAAAGAAAAGGAAGGAAAAGATCACATCTTACTCAATATGACATTTAAGGTGAGTTGCCATTCCAAATCTTCTTAACCCCCCCCCCTTCCCTTTGTTGACATCTTTTTACATGTATAGTTGTTATAATCGCATTTGTAACTGTGCTTCATTTGTAACTATGGTTGGTCTGTAACTATGGTTCGTTTGTAACTGTGAAAAGTCGAGTGACATTGATTTTACCATTTATAATTAACACTTTTCCTCTTTTTTCATCTTCAAATCTTTGAAAATCAAAATTCTCTTTTTTCAAAATCCTGATTAATTTAATTGCTGTGATCTATATTCATTTAGCCCTTGGTGTTGACCCCCAAACCTTTTTTTTTTAGAAAAAGTGCAAATATTAATAATCATACAATGAGTATTTAATTTTTTTTTATCAATATCCTCATTAACAACCAAAATTCATATTGGAAGGCTAGACAAACAGTGACTCTCAGCAGAAGCTTTTAAGGTTGATGCTGTTTGACCTAATAGGTGTCCCTGATTGGACTACCTCAAGCAATACAAGTTCTTCAATCTATCTCTTGTTTAACCTTGAAGAGCGTGCAGGGTAGTTCGGGAAAAAGTCTTGGGTAATGCGGGGACCCGTTAAAGAAACCCAACCCCAAAATTCAAACCTCGTAAGTTACTGTTCAGACTGTTCATAAAGATCAGTACTACATGAACATCGGTATAATGGTTTTAATATTTATGTTTATATATCTGTGTTTTCTTCCCATTCCTGTAATTGGCGGTTCTTCCGCTGTTGGATGTGGTTAATAAAAAAATAAATAAATAAAAACTAAAGATTCAAGTGTGTACAGTGAGCTTTATATATTAACAGTGTAAACTGCAACTGTCGCGAGCGCTATAAAACGTGAATACGTATTGTTTTCTCAAGTGGCCTGGTTTTCATTTTGAAATTCTCCACAAGTGGCATTCAAAACCTTTCTTTTTCATTGTCTGAGAAGTTTACTAAGTAATATGTAAAGTTGGTTACGGGTACCCGATCCCATAATCTGGAACCGGTTCCTGACATCCAAGGTACTCAGGTACCTGGTTTCCGATACACGGCCCTGTTTACCAAAGAGGGTACGTATGGATAGTGTCATATGTAAAGAAAAATGTACCTTATCACGTGTCACCAATTCCATTGGCAGGATAACTTCCCCTTTGACCCGCCGTTTGTGAGGGTCATCTTCCCCGTTCTGACCGGTGGCTACGTGCTTGGCGGTGGGGCCATCTGCATGGAGCTACTGACCAAGCAGGGCTGGAGCAGTGCCTACACGGTGGAGGCCGTCATCTTACAGATTGCTGCTACGCTAGTTAAGGGCAAAGCGCGGATACAGTTCGGCGCCTCCAAGGTTAGAGGAATTATAGCAAAGGACCTTTTAAAGGCACAAAGGATCATTTGATGACACTCCCAAACAAAAAAGGCCAAAATAATTATGTGATGTGATCAAGCTACTCGAGTCATTTGTCAACCCTGGTCAAATTTTTTTTTATTACAGATTTGAAAACAGCACAATATCAGCATTACTGCTGTGAAAACCCCATGCTGGTACCATCTTTAGTTCAAAAATTATGGAAGTTGGAACACCAAGAGATATGATTAAGTGATGTGATGAAGTGGCCCCTATTTTGGCCTGAATCTCCAAATAAAAATTCCCAACAAACGACTCATTTAGCTTTATCACATCACATATGATGACATTACCAACTTGATTGTCAGTAAATAATGCTGTGAAATGTTGATTCTGGTATGCTGCCACTCTCAAGAAAAGAGGAATTTTGTATCAGTACTAACAATGGTTAGGTTAGGGCCTAAACACCACTGAGAACAAACACTGAGAACCAAACACACGTTCTTGATAGTTTTTTTTTCTTTCAAATTTAAGCCCTTGCCTTTTATTGATGTGTACTTACAGAGATATTTGTGTTTGTCCTTTTCCCAGCAGCGTCAGTATAGTTTGGCCAGAGCACAGCAATCATTCAAATCTTTGGTGCAGATTCACGAAAAGAACGGTAAGTTGATGAATCAGTAACAGACCCTTAGCATGAGCTATCTCTTGTGACGATTTCCTGAAATGCACATAATGTTGTATACTTTGTTGAAAGGGCGATGAAGTGAATTTTTCTTAGGAACATATTTTGTGCAACTTTCTACTTAAAGAAAAGAACAATTACGACAGTGAAATATCCAAAATTCTGGCAACTTTTGGTGCTGAAATACCTGTGATATTGAGATTTCTGCCTGAAATGACATCACCCTTTTGCTCATGAATATGGAAATACACATTAGAATGAAAGCAAAAAAAGCACCGAAATACCTTTGAGAATGGAAAAACGAAAATTGAAAATAGGGTTAAAACGGGACACATATGTGTATTTTCAATGATTGCGTTACAAAAATTACATTGCGTGGCCCTTTAAATATCATAGTGCAGGTTCATTTGATCTTCAGCATACTGTCTGAAATATTGAGTTCCCCCACTGGTTTGTTTCCCAACCCCTCAACATTGTGGAATGGAATAAAAGTGCATTTAAGGAAAAACAATCGGCATCTTTCGGTTTTACGATTGCAAAACAGAACTTTAAAGGCCTTTTTCTCAGTATTTTACTTTTTAACATGTTGATAAGTGTGAACTTTAAAGAATCATTACTTTTTAATACCAATGGAATGTCCGATTGAAGTGCAACAAACAGTATTTTAAGGAGACTTTTAATCTCCTTACTAATACGCGCAAACCCTTATTTCAATCTCCAACCAGTTCTGTCTCATTTTGCCAGAACGCCTCACATTTGAACTTTGCTTTGGAAGGGTAATTTGAGCTGCCAAAGGGATTGAAGACGGTTTTATTAATAGTTGCTTTCAAAGGGGAACAAGAAGGGACCTGCAATGTTGGACTTCAGGAACTTTTGGGGGTCTGAGACAGAGGGGCTGCATTGACTCCACTGAAAAGTAACTTCAACTTAAGCCCCAGACATTTTTGCTTAACAATTTCACTTACTCCAGCCAACTTCCTCTTTGTTCTAAAGGATGGTTTACTCCACCAAAAGAGGATGGTTAGCTGACCGATCAAAGGACTCCCCCCCTTCCCCCCAACCCCGTCAAACCTGAACTATTGTGTCGACCCACGCAAGTTTGACTCAGCTGTGACTCTTGTGGAAGCCAGACAATCAAACCATACCTACAAAGATCTACTCGACATGGAAACCACTTCGACATGTGGAGGCGTCGGCGACTTACACACTCTGCGGAGACTTGGATACAAAGAGATTTGACTTTGTTTCTCTGGACTTCAGGATTCGAAGGATGGATTTTATTGTTTTTGTTTTTTTCATTTTTCCCCCTCCCCAGAGAGTTAATAATGTGCCACAAAATTGCAAAGCTTGTCCTGCTTCGACTGTTGTCATCCTATTTTCAGGATACTCCACATTTTCACCCATGGGAATAATATTGAGATTTTCTCGTTCGTGTTCTTGTTGTTGTTTTGTTCACAATGCTGTCGTCACTTACAAAGGTAAGTTTGAATGAAGTTAACACTTCTCAAGAACTTCCCAGAGAAGCTACCAGGAGTTGTGTACATTGTTTTTGCTGTCATGAAAATGTGGTAACGTTCATTCCTAGTTTCAGTTTCACAGATCATTTACCTAAGTGTGTGTTTATCTGTCCTCGGATTCCTACTGTTAGGATGTATATTCTTTATGTATTATTACTTTACTGATGGTTCAGGCCAGGAGCATCATAGGCTATGAGATTATGCCTTGTTCACGACACCAATGGGTCGTATCCAACATACCCAAACTGGGCTTGCCAAAAGAGAGGTCATTTGTTTTACAGTCAAGACATCATGACTTGCTCACTAAGGATCGGCGTGGTTTTGGTTCGTTGCTCCCGTTGTGTTGCGCTCCTTACACCTCTTGGGAGTTCACTTGCTGCATACATGTAGTGTGCTGCATAGCAATAACGCATGGTGACGGTGGTTTTTTCCTCACCCAGGGTCATCACTGAAGGGAAGAGATGTGACACCCCACCCTTGCTCATTTTGGTGATTTTTATTGGCAAACGCTCAGTGTGTTTGGGGCAATCTTTGTCACAACAAATGGGATGTTAGGGGTGTGACATCCCCCATTGACATAACAATTTTCCTGTGGGAAAAATTGTGCATCTGTCCACACCCCCCCCCCCCCTTGATTTTGTGGGGTGACCAGGAAAAAAAACTGGTTGTCTTCCAGTGTGGATGGCCTGTTGGCAAATTGTTGTCAAACGCACCCCATTCAAATTGATCTGGTGGTGCACCGCTGCCTGTTGTCCAATAATGCCCAGTCTCATCTGCTCTGAACAGTGTCCCCCAGCAGGTTGATCTTAATGTGATCAGGTGACTAGGAGACGTCTTGTCTACCGTCTACTATGGAGTGATGCTGTCACCTCCAATATGATGACAGCCTTGTCCTTGACCCAATATGCATGTTTGGCGATTAGGCATCTCAAACCCAGCAGACGATCATTTATGTAAATAGTGCTGTGCTGATACCAGCCGCACCAATTGACAAAACGCGAACGTCTCGCGTCTAAATCGAGTCTCAATCGTCAGTTGAAATCAAGATATGATCTTATTATTCTGATGTCAGAATGAGTGCCTGTATTTTTGACTTGGAATCGTAAGTGAAGATGTGAGCTGACTGACGCGAAGCAGCATCTCACATTCATTGATATGACCATGGAGGTAGGAATCCGTTCGATCAAGTGGCCCATCGGTATACATGTATTGGCCTTGTTATGGACCTTCAGTAAATCACACTTTTGGATTTTGGTTTGGCCATGGATGCTACACGTATGCTAATATCCAGTTTCTAAAAAAACATAGGAGTACTTATATATGCTTGGAAGCTGAAGTGATTATGTAACAGTATTTGATAGTGTGAACACTGCCATCATGCTTAATACTCATGAATATGTCCAAGAAATGAAATTGAGGTCCATGCATTTAAACAGAGAAAGATGCAGGATCCTGGCTGGAAAAAAATGCTGATGTACCGTTACGAATTTTCCTAGTTGAATTATCTGAATAAATTTGTGTAACTTCATTTCATTTTGGCAAATTAATAAAATCACGTACATGATATGCAAAGGGGACTGTTTTTTATCTATGGCTAAAGAAAAATACATGGAAGGAAATCTGACCTTCTCAGAAGAGTTTAGGCTTTGCATGGTGGAGTATCGATTTAGTTTCGGTTTGCGGTAAACACCATGCTTAGTAGATTTAGTTCTGATAACAGTCCTCCTTAGTTCTAAAAAGAACTTGTCTTGTTATCTACTTTCGCTAAGTAGGTTGGGAGGTGGTGGGGCTTCTCGCAATTATCTTCACTGAGGCTGAGTGAGATACGTTTGGTCTCAATGTTTCAACTAGCCTGCTCTAGTCATCGTCAGGAGACTATGCTGAGCCCAAACTTATCTCTCTCAGCCTCAGTGAAGATAATTGCGAGAAGTTCCACCGTCTTCCAACCTACTTAGCGAAAGTAGATAACTTAACAAGTTCTTTCTAGGACTGTTCTTATCAGATATAAATCTACTAAGCGACAGCAGTTATTACCACACGGTGTTACCACAAACCGAAACTAAATCAGACAGACCTTATATTTGTTTTGGCCAATGGTAACGGTTTGAAGCAAGTTTTTTTTTTTCTAGTCCCTTTGAGATTTGGATACAACTGGGAATAATATCGCAGAACAGGCTTGCAGGGCCACCATTTTGAAATTCATTCATTCAGTGTGTCCCTAAACTCACTGTTTCATGAGAGTTAACCTGAGTGTTTTCGCAAGCTGATTTGTTTCCACTCTTTTCCACCTGCCCCCTCTTTGCATGCAAAATTGATACATTGAACATTGAAGTTGTGCACAGAAAAAAAGTGTTCAACAGCAATGGACCATTTTTTGGACTGGGCAGAATCAGTATTTTTGTTTACACATTTTTTATTTTGTCTTTTGGATTTTCTTTAACTTGTGAAGGACTTTCCCCTAAAAATAAATTGCCCCTGTTGTGTTTTATACCTTTTTGGTCGCAAAACAAGTTTGTTCCCCCGTATACATCGATCGCATTCAGCAGACATCTTTGAGCTGTTGCGACACTTTTACTAAGGCTGTATTCTGTCTCTTCCAACATTTCTTGCTATTTTCTTGTAACATTTTCTGTTAAAACTCTTGTTGAATGTGTAATGGTTGTAACCTCAGTGTTTATACAAAGGGTTTAAATAACAAGACATGTATACGTGTACATAAAAACTGGAAGGGAAATCTTTGTTGTACATTTTCAAAGAGTGATTTCACTGTGGAGGGAACGAGCAACGGTAAATTACTATTTCATCATATCTTCTTTCTTTTTTTGGACAACAAAATGACTGTGAAACAAACATCTCCAGTGATGTACCTATGATACGTAACTTAATTTGTACAATTCATTTAACGATCTGGATCTATTTTATAGATTAGTGTTTAAAGAACTGTTGAATCGGCCCAATAAAGTTGGTAAAGTGCTGACTGAAGCGTCTAGACACGTGACAAAACAATTTTGAGTTGGATGGGTTATTAGCAGTGTTGTAGTCGAGGCCACAACCGCCGAGGCCACAACCTCCGAGGCCGAGGCCGAGGCTGAGGCCACAACCGCAAGGCCGAGGCCACCACCTCTGAGGCCAAGGCCAAGGCCAAGGCCGAGGCCAGCTATCAAAACACGTAATAAAATATAAATCACTAAAATAAGGCTAAGATTATGTTGGAGTTTTAACATCTTTTTAGTTGAATTCACTGAGTTTTGGAGTGCCTGGCTTACAAATTTACAGTTTGCAATGGGTTTCCTCTTGTTGGGAGTCCGGCGAATTTTATTTTTTAAAGAAAGAAATCTCAAGTTTTGTATCACTGAAAGCAAATTACACAACAAAATCAATGGCGTTTGAATCAGGCTCATAGGTGTTTGCCTTTTGGAGATACAACAATTTAAATGGCCAAATTTTGAGTTTCTATTCTATAAGATTTACATCATTTACTTTTAGCATGTTTTATAAATCTTATTTTCAAAACCTATCAAAATGTTTAATATCATAGGAATCCCCATTAAATAAACAACAACTTGATTTTTGAATCAGGTTTTTACCACTCATAACCAAAAAGTTACGACCCCCCCCCCCCCCAACCTTCGCACTGTCCAGGCGCGCGCCGAACAAACACCGCGATGCGACCAGACAATGCCAGACGGCCCGCCGTTACGCACGGGCAAAGCATAGTTCCAATCCCGCTCCACACAACGGGATAAGTGTCCACGCATTATCACTGTTAATACGGCGGTACCAGACAAAGTCTGGCAATGGCCAATCCCGCTCCAAACAACATGGCAACACGGAACATGCGTGCAAGATATCACTCAGTTCATCAAAATGACCATGAATTCTCGGATCATCCGATTTGAATCCAATGGCTTCGAAGAATTTTAAGATCATGGCAAGAGGTAGGGAGTCCAGAGGTTTTGGCCGTATATCTGTAACCACGCAAAATTAGGCAATTTCAAACCGTGCTTATACATGTAATAAGTATCAACATGGCTCTAAAAATACAAAAAAGTATCCTGGTACCACGAGGAATACTGACTCCTATTATTAAAACATTCATTCAGAACTTTGCTTTCATTTGGATGGAAAAACGAATTCTGAAATCGCGCTTTCCATATCGACCATTTGCGCCAAACATTACCGTGAGCGGGAACTTTCATTTAAATCACCGTGTAAAAATAAAATCTACTTGATAAATCGTAATTGTTTTTATCATATCTTTATGGGGAAAAAATGGTACGGACTAGTACACTCGATCGTACCCAGAAAGTTCAGACTTTTACTGAAACAGTGGCCTATAAAAAGAAATGATTAAGCTTGCCGCACCTTGCCGCAAATCATTTTTAAAGGTCGGGGTACGGGTACAGAGGCGAAACGAGAAAATTTTGTACAACACTGCAACCAGACTAGTCTACTACCACATGTTATTGTACGCAAATGGGATTGGTGCCAGACTTATGTAGTCTGGCACGCGGTAACAGTTATAACGCTTGCACGCACGTACGTGGAAAGCTGAAGCGCAGGCTAGGCGAAGATGCTACGTACGTGAGTACGTTCAATGCAACCATTTCCAGTTCATTCGTGCGTACATAATATGCGTTCGTTTCACGGAACCCACTGCGGCAGAATCTCAAGGGCTTGATACGGTAAAAAATTAAAATTCATTAGAATAGAAAACACATCAAAATGGGCGGCCTCGGGGCGGCCTCGAGCCGGCCTCGACCGATTCGCCGAAGCCGGAAGGCTCCGAGGCCAAGGCCAAGGCCGAGGCCTTGCACCTCCGAGGCCAATTCTGAAAATGTACGAAAGTTACCGAATACAATTTTATTTACAAAATACATCAATTCTTTGCTTGCATTTAAAAACCTCAACGCCTCGTGTATTACCCAGAATGCTCTAAGTATTCGTACAGAGGTTGGACTTTTTTGCGCCATGTTCTGTTTTTGAATGTGATGGCTGTCTGACGGTGACCTAAGATTTGTCAGAATAGTCGGAATATTTTGGTCTGGGAACTGGTTATGTCTGTTTCAAAGAAACTGGGACGATATTCCGATGCCAAAGAGAGTCAAGAAAATTATCCTAGGTTCAGTCTCCAAGTTTGTTGACTACAACAATTATTTTATCAGTGATTAATTAAAAGTAACAAACCAGTGACAAGAGGGGGGGAGGGGAGGGAATAGGACCCTGCACCGGAGGCCTGTACCCCCCCCTTCCCCACTGTGCCCCCCCCCCCCCCTTGGCCTCTTTCCCCCCCTATTTTCCCCATAGGACTCCCATGCACTTACGCTACTGTAACCAACATGATGAGTTCCAGGTTTCAAACATCGTCACCCTTCCAGATGAGCTTAGACGAGGATGCAAGTTTCACAAGATTGTTATCCATTGTATTGATTACCTAGTAAAAGTTAAACTGTTTCAGGCCTAGTGAATATATACAATTAATCAGGTTCATTTAGCTAGGAATTCCATTTCGGGGGAAGGGGATAGGGAAGGGTGGGTGGGTGGGTGAAGATGAGAGGGACTAAGCCTTGATCGATTAAGGGCAAACCGTAAACCCAACACTTGTTAATGTAAAATTTGTTAATATATTTAATAATTTATTATTGAGGAAGAAATGTATAGCATTTCCCCCTCCCCTCCCCGTACTGGCCTAATAGAGGGCGCTCTTCTTGTTAACAGTTCAGGAAGTCCGTCAATAGAGGGCGTCCTTTATTAGAGCGGAGCCGTAATGCGCCTATGATATGTCTCCCCCCCCCCCCCCCCCCCCCCCCCCCATGGTTCAATGTCGGGGTTTGGTCACGTTTTTCATGCCACAGGGTGGGGATTTTGGTCACTCAAAAACATTGGTACTATTGGCGTACTAGATGGAAGGGCAATCACCAGTGCACCACACGTATGTGGGCTATGTCGGAGCATGGAGTTTTGCATGAGGGGTAGAGATTATTTTGTCACGTCAAAAGTGACAATCCCCATGTCTAGGGTGGGGCAGCCCGGGGAGGGGGAACAATTGATAGGCGTATAAAGAGGTGCATGTGATAAAATACGAGGGCAACGGCCAGCTGCAGCAGTGGCGGATCCAAGAGTGGTTTGGCCTTTTTGGGCAAACCCTAACCCCCCCCCCCCCTAACTTACCAGAATGTTAATTATTTACTGGAAAAAAAAAAAAAATTCTTTAAATTTCCCGCATGATATTGTCATTCGTATTGCAAATCTCGATTTATTGCTTGGTGTTTACAACGTCTCATCCTACCTCCCCCTAAAAGAGCTTGTATTTATTGTACCCCAGCCCCCTCCCCCCCCCCCCCCCCCTCCGGGAATATCTTAGTTCTGATCTGCCAATGCATTGAGTGCCAGAGTCATGGTATATTACAGACTGCATATATAGGTAGACCTGTCACGGTATGGGAATGTTACATGGGTATCTAGAGGGCCAGGGCGTGGTCGAAAAAGGGGGTTCAAACGCGACTCTATGATTATAGGCCCACACAATGCATGCTTTTGAAAAACGCGTACACATTGATGCTACGTTATGCTTCTCCAAAAGCCGCCAAGAAGGTGACAGAATTTACGGCAGGTATTGATGGTTAATTGGACGTCTTAGGTCGAGGCTGCAGTCAAGTCCAAGTTGAAACGAGTATAAACACCGGCGGACCAAGAAAATAATTTTGAGAAGGGGGGGGGGGGAAGAAGACGGTGGCAAACAGTAAACATGCTCATTTTGAAAGATTAACTGCTTTCATTTCTTTTTAATCTAATTGGCCAGTGTTCTATAGCGATCCACACGATTTTTCTTTTACTGTTATAATGGCATTCACTGTCAAAATATTTCAGTTAGTGTTTCTTCGTGAACACAAGATTATTAATCATGGAAGCAGAGTTTGATACTCTTATCATAGTTTAACCTAACTGTACGCGCCATTGTCACTATCCATTGGCAACACCTTTTGAAGTTTCTGCTACATTAATTTGTACACCCTAATTTTATTCGAGAAAAGCACGATTGTTCTTGGTCTTATTAATTATTCATTGTTTTAAATTGCTGATGCTTACAAACTTTAATTATCCTCATTCGTTTCTCAATGGTATAGTTTACTAATCAACCACTGGTTGGAATAGTCTGTCAACTAGAAACAAAGCATTCTTTTTAACATTCCAAGTGATATGTGAACAAGTTTGAAAAAAGGGTTAATTTGTGCGCTAGCGAGGAACGCCCTTTTCGACAGATCGTGTTATATCAATTGAAAAAAATAAACGTTAGAAATTCCAAAGCCGGTTTTGCTTATGTTCCAGTGAGAAACACCAAATTGATTAGGCAACTAAATACGCTATAGAGCAAATGCTTATATGTATCGTATGGTACATAAATGTACTTATAAAGCTATCAATTATTATATAAAGTTAATCAAATTAATTTTCAGCGACTACTACTTGTTCAGCTAATTAAGCCATTACGTCTGTATGCCGAACTGAACTGAACTTTCACGGGCCATTGACCCAAGTCGGTCAGGGGCGTGCATGTACATGTATACCTAGTTTGCGTACAGCAGAAACCCGGTGAACGAAGTGAAATTAGCAGTAGTACCATGAACAGCGCCATTTAATAATAAATAAACCTGATCATCTGGCACCAACGACATCACTGAGCTGCTGCTCAGTTGATGGTATCCTAGAGTGTTATCATGAACTGTCACAGTTCGCTCTGTGTTTTTATACAAAGACACATAAATACTGTTCGAGTCATGTGTTTTCAAGACTGAAAACATAAAGGCGTAGATGCCAGGTACCGCGCACGTGAAAGTGCCCGCGGATAAGTCGAAATTTGCCCCTTCGTCGAACACGGTCTCATCGAAGATCAGGCGGCCGCCTGAGGCACTGTATCTTGTGATTCTCGCAACGGTGAAGGCTACTTGAGAGGCATTTGCGGCGGATTCGCCTTGTTGTCCCATCGGGCCCGTGGGTCCTGGGTC